TCTATTGTATTATGGTAATCACTATAATACAAGCGTGGACCAGGTGCAACAGTTGCAAGAAACCTGATATGTATATAACAAATTAAATGAGGAATCAAATTGTATCTAATCCATCTTTCATTGTAATGACCATTCAGAGAATAAAATTATAATAGTTGTAAGGAATAAGAAATAAAACTGACAAACCGTTAAAGATTGAAATTTCCTTATATCCTTACAATTTAACCTAACCAATTTTCCTCGTATATCTTCGAATTTACGTATTGTAATAGTTAGAATAACAGTAATATCTAATTGAAGAAATTACTTCTGTATCACGTACTTTTATCATATGTACGTACATACATATGTATATATATAAAACTTAAATATTAAAAAAAATATCAAAGAAAGATGCAGTTCAACTCCTTTTTTTAACTGCTTTCCAAGTTAATGTATTTCATAGTATTAATGTATCAAAAATGTATTTTTATGTATTAGAAAAACGTTAATGTATTAAGAATCAGAACTGAAACCGTAAAATCGGGATTCGAACTGATTCTCCTGGTTTCTTAATTCAGCCATATTGCCATGCACGAAATTATATTATTTTGTCGATTCGTCGATGCTGCTGCCTCGTGCTTTAGCGGCTTGAGCATCGAGCCGATAACGTAGAAATGACGAGAGCAGCCGAACTCTGCCAAACCCGCAGAGAGCTCACACGGACACGTGGGACAACGCGCTTGTGTTAGACGAAACAACTGCGGTAGGGGAGTCACTGGGACGTCGTGGGACGTCGTGGAGAGGGTAAAGATTTGTCCCACGTCCCACGGTTCTGGCATCACTGCTCAAGGCGTCCGGGGAGACGAAGCCCTCACCCCTCCATTAAACGCCTACATTTTGAAATTTAAAAATCTTACTTGGATTCTAATATTTAAAAATTTTAAGATTCTCAGATCCTAAGATTCTAAGATTCTAGGATTCTAGGATTCTAGGATTCTAAGATTTTAAGATTCCAAGACCCCGAGATGCCACGATTTCAAGATTCCAAGATACTAAGTTTTTAATAATCTTTGACTTTAAAATAATTATAAACATAATTTTGAAATTAATTTGTAAGTGCAATTTAAAAATTATGAAATTTAACTAATATCCGATTTGAAGAAGGAACTTCTACAAAATGCAAATTAATTAAAAAATAAAAATTTTTTAAATAGCACTAATTATTGAATTGTTGAATTCTTTCTGCATCTTAATACTCTTTCATACAGAATATTTTGAACAACCGAATAGTTTGCAGTTTTATTAACGCTGTGACAGCAGACAATGAAGGAAGCCCCAATTTTAATTTCATTTTGTATTTCATATTGTTTTCATGTTCTAAATTTTACACTGTTCCTTTAAAAATGATTCTTCCAACATACGAAACTCTTTGGCTTAAGTATGATACATTTAACTTTAAGTTAGTATCGTTGTATACGTTTTGTAACTTTGGATCTCAATTTACCCATACTCCACTATTAATGGCTTAAAAAAAACAAATGGCTTTTGCCTACAGGGTGTTCGATAACAGGTGAGAGGTTTTTAAAGGGGTGATTCTAGGGATCAAAATAAGATGAAAATCAGAAATGACGAAATAGCGTTTGCGGCTTTGTTTTCCAGTAATTAACGTTTAAAAATTCGAGTAAGAAGCGCCTGAAACCTGCAATCTGCCCAGCACCGACGACTGAATGCCGAGTTGGCAGAGGTGGGTACAGTCATAACCAAGAATCATTGAATAGTAGAAACTTATCTCGTGCTATTCTGTTTCTCGGTACTTCGGTACTGCAGCATTCGGATTTCTCTTCTTGGTTATGACTGTACCCATCCCTGCTGACCTGACGTTCAGTCGTCGGTGCTGGGCAGATTGCAGGTTTTAGGCGCTTTTTACTCGAATTTTTAAACGTTAATTACTGGAAAACAAAACCGCAAACGCTATTTCGTCATTCTTGATTTTCGTCTTATTTTGATCCCTAGAATCACCCTTTTAAAAATCTCCCACCTGTTGTCGAACACCCTTTATCTTCCGTTAAAAAAAATACTCATTAAATTAGATGTTCATCAGAATCATTCAGCTTTTATTTATTTTGTAGACATTCAAAGAGACTGATTAAATTGGGACATCCTACGTATACCTTTTCCAGCGGGGTTAACTGATTGTGAGACATTTCTGCATTTATCATAGAAATTAATATTATTTGTCGACATAAACGTTCCAAAAGTACTTTTTATGGTCCCTTCACTTATTAACCGTATATTTTTCAAGAAATTTTTAAAAGTGCTGAATAAATGAATGTCTGTTGGAGAAAATTCCAGTGAATGGGATAGAAGTTGATTCTGTAACTCATGCAGTTTTTGCAACGTCATTCATTCAACGCGAAATCATACATACCTTTCCGCTTCACTAACACCGACTGGATCCTTTTTTGAATTTCTCTTGCATTGTCTGCAATTCTGCACGGTATTTTTCAGCTGTTATTGTTTCTCAAATTCTTAGGGAACTGTGGTAAATAATTGAAGTCTCGAATTTTAAAATAATACAAATCTACTGCAATATGTTAGTTCAGCAATGCAGAGAAACATTATGAAACCATGAAAATAAATTTCTTTTTTTAAACGATGTAAGAAACATTGTAGGATTTCGTGTTGGTAAAAGTGTAATTGATGTAACTATTGACGTAAAATTTTAAGATTCTGGAATTTTAATATTGGAAAACTTCAAAGTTCAAAGATTCCAAAATTCCGAGATCCTAAAGTTCTAGAATTCTAAAATTCTATGATCCTAGGATTCTATGATTCTACTATTCTAAGAATCTAAAATTCTAAGATTCTAATAATCGAATAATTTAATATCTTAATGTGCTGCTGTTCTAAAGTGCTAATATGTATTTTAGTATTCTAATATTCTAACATTTTAACATTCTAATCTTTTAATATTCTAACATTTTAATGTTTTAATGTTCTAATTTTACGATATTCCATTGTTCTAAAATTCTAATAATCTAATATTCCAATATTCTAATATTCTAATGTTCTAAGATTCTCTCGTAAAATCTTGTGGAACATAATATTCAATTCAACTAAAAACAAAACCTATCATAATATTCTTATCACGCGAGGTTATGAATAAAAATAATTAAACAATATTAGAATGAATATAGAATTTAACAATATTAAACACTTGACAATGGTAATAAAGCTAAGGCACCAGACCGACCTTCCCCAAAAAATCCTAATTTAAAAACTACAGTGAGTATAAAAAGTGTTTGGACACCGTTTAAAACAGAATACTTCATTTAAAATTGGACCAAATGTCTTGAAGTTTTTTGAGAAGTTATATAAATTAATTTACTAAGATATGTGCTTTCGTCGTTTTAAAAAATTACAATTTGTTGAAATCGTGAAAGAAAATAGTAAAGGGTAATTTGTCATCTTTTTTTGTGAGCCTATAATAAAAATTTAAAATATATCTTTCGTAGATTCAAATAAGTTAATAAGAGATCGGTTAATGCACTTAGAAGTTACAAGTAATTGAAATTTCCGAAAATCGCAACTTTTCATCTAACGCAAGAACGTGACTAGTTATGTTCTTGAACATAACTCAAATAAAAAAGTTAGAAAATTGCCTTTTACTATTTTCATTCACGATTTCAACAAATTGTAATTTTTTAAAACCACAAAAGCACGGATCTTAGTAAATTAATTTGTATAACTTCTCAAAAAACCTCAAGTCATTTGGTCCAATTTTAAATGAGGTATTCTGTTTTAAACGGTGTCCTAACACTTTTTACACTGACTCTATGTATTTATATTTCACAAAATCATTTATATCTGTAATCCAATAAATAAGTCATATCACACAATTGAGATACACCTCTCCGTTTCTTCATTTCTGCCAGTTTTTACAAATCAAAAGCCTATTCTGAAGTCAATTGGGTCATATATGTATTCCTCTGTTGTCTTATAGCATTCACTTTACATCACTTGTTAATGTACAATTCAAAAGAGGTACGGTATGTTGTTGACACAGAAGAGGAAACACTATAGAGAAACTATTCTGCCTATTTTCCTTCGACAATTCCTGTGACATCCAACGTCGGTCAAGTTTTTTTACTTTACCGAGTTTCCGTAAACCTAGTACGAGCGTTGTATGACAAACTTGGAGTTTCTGAAGGAGTTCTCGAGTAGTTTGGTAAACACAGATTCCACCAATTGCCGCGAAACTTCACCGATCCAACAAATAATCTGATCACCTAAATCTTATTTTTAAAATTTTACGTTACAATAAAAATTTTTTAAATAATTTCAAACTGTTTTTGCAGAAACAGACTTTTTTTTCTACTTACAATTATTTCATTTTTATATCCATTAGTAAAGAAAATTATTAAATCATTAAATAAAAAATAATAATTTAAATAAATGATAATTATAATCATAATTTTTAATAATTATCCCCCTTCTCTGTTGTACCTACCCGTATTTTTGATTAAATTATCCTAATTTAGTTGAATTTAATATTTTAAATCATTTATCATTACAACGTGGGATCTCAAAATTCATATAACTTTTTTTCATATCTTGCACGGTTTTGTAAATATTCACAACATTTTTTAAAGGGAGTGTTTTCATCACTGGTATTCTTTTATTAATAGAATAAAAAAATGTTTTCGCTATTAGGGTCGCTGCAAATTTTTAAATTGTCTGAATTTAAAAATTCAGCAATTTGAGCAAAGCAACGATGGCAGTATTATATTTTCTCTCTTTTTAAACGAAGCAACTTTCACCGTTAACAGTTTTTCGTACTGTCTAGAATAACAAAGGTATTCCGATGTTTTGTTTCAAATACGTCACCCTGTACAATTCTAAAACAGTTTCTTGGTGATGTTTGAAAAGGCAATTCTGTGAAAGCGCGATTATTGTAGTGTTCGAAATCCTTATTATACATGTATTTTATTCATAGATAGTCATATTTTTATTCATAGGTGTCAGGTTCGATCGGTCAATCGCCATGCGGTGCGGTGAAGGAAGAAAAGGGAATGCAACGATTGGAAGCTATGCTATATGCCCTCGACGAGATCAATTCAGACAATGATTTATTACCAAATACCACTTTGGGTGCCCTTATTCTTGACTCCTGCAGCAGTGATACCTACGCTCTTGATCAGAGCATGGAGTTCGTCAGATCTTATATGAATCAAGTAAGTTTCCTCCTTTTTCATTTTTTTTACTCTGGACGATCTTTGTCTACCATGCTGTCAAATTTAGCGATTTTGTAATTCAAAGATTTTAAAGTGAAGAAACAATATTTTCTTATCATTCTTTTTTAAAAATATTCTTTGCATAATTATACAGAACTGTACAGAACCTCATTGTGCAATATTGCTTTTAGAACCTTGTAAACCGTACGTTTTTATAGAAAAGAATTTTTTCACAATTTTTCCCAAAAAGCACTCTGAATCAGTATACTTCTCCTAGATATAAATATCATAATCATTACGCATTTCTCTCATAATTGTGTCCGAAAAACGTGAAGTACTCTTCTGTGTTTCACCTTTACTATGCTTCGATCATCGCTCTGAATGATGCGTGTCATAATGAACGTATGTATGTACACGGAGTTCCATCGAAGTTGTCGCAGTGAAGTTGGCTACACATTCACTAACACATTCACGCCGCGTCGTCGGCACCTCGCCCATCGGCACACCGACGCGGCGTGAATGTGTTAGTGCGCCAACTTCACTGCGACAAGTTTAATGCAACTCAGTCCATACGAGTATTATCTAGTTCATGAGTCATTATCTGTTCCGAAACAATGTTACGAGCCGGAGGGGGTGGCTGCGTAGCCGGGGCTTTATTTAGGTTATGGTGTTCTTAGTTAGCTTAACCAGTGTTAGATAATACTGGGAGCCTAAGGAAATAGACAGGAAGACGAACCTATTGTGCAGAGATGAGAAGATGACGAGCGGAAGGAATGTGGGCACGGCTGGTCGTATTTGATAAGTCACGCCTCACGCGCACGCATTCTAGTTATTGGCCGAATCGGTCACATACTAATCGCATCGCCTGATAAAGAAGGAAAATGAGACTTCGTGACAAAGTGAGATAGTACGAAGTCAGCGTTGCGAGGAGTCAAACGTGGGGTCAGGGCGGAACGTGCAAAGTGCCCTTCTGCCGTCTCGCTACTCATCTTTCTATCTCTGCACAGTACGTATGGTTAACGTAAGGAGCTCCAGGAAACGATAGACAGTAAATATTCAAATATGTTAATAGCTGAATATTCGAATTTTTCTTACAGCCCCAACAATACATTGTCTCACTGTTTAACGAAAGATGTATGATTTCATTTGTCGATGAAAAAACGATATCGGGCTGTGATACTGCGGCGACCTGTGTGTAGAAATATCGTACATGGAAATTCTTGTTTTAAAAGAAATTGCTCAGTCGGCAATATATTGTAGAATGGCAATATAGAAAGAGTTTACTGTTCTACTACATAGTTCCAACAACTTTGATAATTTAAAAAAATTCCTTTCTATGTGATACATTAATTTCTTTATTGACAGAAAACTTCCAATTTAAATTTTAATATTGGTCTAAAGATGTAATAATACCTATAGTTAATTATTGTGCTTCATATTTTATAACAGAGGTAATAATTTTTTTTTTATGTTTTCATAATTCTTCCATTTATACTTTTATCTATTGGTTATTGTTTCTATTGTAAATTCTTTTAATTAAATTATTAAATTTATTATTTATTTTTAAAAAGGACCATCAAAGGGCTGAAACATTATGTTGCACTACAAAATGTGTCTAATTATTTATACTCGTGCTATTTAAAAAATATTTTTCTTCGATTAATTTTAAATAAACTTATTAAAATAAACAATTAATACTGATCGAATCTGATTGAACTGTCATTTAAACGTATATCTTATTTCCCGTTGAGTAATCGTTGAAAATTACGTTGTTTCTGAAATTATGAGATCCATTAATCTTAAATGTGCTTCCTTGGAAGTAGATTAATCCTTGCCTATCAAACGTCGAAGCCCTGCTTTAAACAACAGGCTATCGTTTATCATCTCTTTTATTTACTGCAAGACTTTCATATCTTGTATTAAATTATTAAATAATAATAGAGTTATTTTTAATTTACTTGTTGAATAAAAAAGCAATCGTAGTTTTAGTGAAATATAAATGTAAGTGATCTTTTATTTGTGAAAAAAAGACTGAAAATAATAATATAGCAGTATCTGGTTATTACCATCATGAATAATATTACCCGGCTATTATTATTATAATCAGTCGGTCCCAAAATACTCTATAAAATTAGTTAAAAATAATTCGCCTATTATAGGCAGACTACTGCTGTTCTTACAATTAGGGAGAAATGATAAGAATTGTAACTTTGAACAGCGAAGTCTGGATCAATCGAGATCCAGACTTACAAAATATATGTATACAAGGATATTACCCTAAAGTTAAATGTACAATTTTTAAACGAAAGAGTTGCATATATTGGAAAAATAATTTTCAAAGGAACAGTGTATTTAGGAAATTAAATTACAGCGGGGGGTTTCTTTATGATTCGCCGTTCGGGGGCCCAGTGTCCCTAGTATGCAAATATACCGGTATTTTCTCATTGTCTCTTCTCTCTATCTACATCTCATATGTAATATTACATATATGCTATATATGCTGCGGCATTTATGTCTACATTTTCCCCGACGCGTTTTCTACCTATATACATATATTTTAATGGGCGCCACGATAATCTTGCCCAGGGCGCCAATATTGCTAAAACCGGTACTGGGTACGCAATAACCCGATGTGTCGTATCGAACGTTGCACGTCACACGCGCCACTGAATGACCGCGCGGATTTTTATTCCCATTCGAATTTGTAAAGTTCGAAGTGCTATATTGGCTTCACGGTCGTCGCGGCGTAATTCTTTAAACTTTAAATCAAAAGAATTGGTTTGTTTGATCGTTGATTTTTAGGCGTTCGATGTCGATCGATAAGTAAGTTTTCGAAGACGATTCGAACCCATCTTTTCGCTTTCCCGGTATTCCGGTTCGGGGGAAAAGGCGTTAATTGGTTTTTACAAAATGTTGATTTGCCAATCAGTGTGTTCCCAGGTACTTGTGTCCGCCCTTCCGTGCGCCCTTAGCGCGATTTGTCTTAGAAGAGGGTGGCGCGATACCTGATGTATGCGAGAACCTCGAAAGTCCAGCAGCGCCGGGTTTTTCTGTCCAGGTTGACCCTCGAAGGCCAATTACCGCTAGTTGACCGCTGTCGACTCACCCTTCGGGAAGACTCAGTTTATGACATAATTTCAGCTATTGAGAGCGATGTAGACGTTAAGCCTCGTACTGACTTGGGCATTTTGCCCAAACGAATGCTCTCGGCGAACGAACGTGAAATTTCTTCGGCTGTTCGCGCAAATCTTTCTACCTGGGGTACCGTAAACCTTTGTATCTGGGTTCTATGTAGAAAGGTTCTTTCTACCGTAAACCAGTCGAAGTCAGAATGTCGACAGGAACAGATGTCACGATCGCCAGTGCAGCGTATATTATTATGAACACAATAATTAAAAGAAAAAGAAGAAGAACAAATCAAGATAAACGATGGTGGATTAGTCAGATGTATAAAAATAGAGCAACCTCTAGTGGTGAAAAAGTAATTAGAGATTTACAGATAGAAGCTAGTGGACATTTTAAAAATTTTGTGCGGATGTCATCGGAAGATTTTGAATTTTTAATAAACGCTATCGGTCCCAAAATTCAAAAAAACTACACCAGATTCAGAAAAGCTGAAATGACGGTGAAAGAACGCTTATCTATAACGCTACGTTTTTTAGCAACGGGAGATTCATATACGAGCCTTCAGTATCTGTTTAAAGTATCCAAACAATTAATATCAAAAATTGTTCCGGATTTCGAAAATCAGTTTATGACGGTTCATCAGGCCATATCATAAACTGAGTTTTTCCGAAGGGTAAATTCGACAGCGGTCGACTAAAGGTACTTGGAAATTTGTAACCGGCATAGTAAAATTGTTCGCACGAATATCCTTTGATGGACCGACAGCCATCGGAAAGCGTTCGTTCGTGCCCAGGGCCTTTGCGAACTCATATCGGGTCGTTTTCGGCGCACGAATGCTCTAGTGAGTACGAGGCTACAGCAGTCAAAAAGCGTTCCTTCGTGCTCTGGGCCTTCGCGAACACATTAACGGGCCGTACTCACTTCAGCATTTTTGCCCGAATGAACGTTTTCGGCGCACAAATGCATAGGTCAGTACGAGGCTTTAGACTCTAAATTCTTGTACAAAAAGGTAAACTACTATTGCCGGCAATATGAAAATACTTAACTCAAAAATAGCTTTACTGTAGCGAAACCGTCATAAACTAACTTTCGAAATTCTCAGAAACGTGTTCCTCGGTACGGACCACCCGATAATATCTAGCCGGGTTAGGTCGAGTTCTTGAAAGCATAAATGTGGGAGATCTCGAAAATTTCGATGGGGTTGGGAAATGTTATGGTTGGCTCACTATGAGTTACAATAAATTCCCGTTATATTGCCACGTGAGCGATTTGATTTTCGTACAGATTTTCAAGCATACTAGTGCTACGCTTCTACCATCATAGCGCACGAAAATAATATGATTTTATCTACCTTTTCTTATCAACTGAACAATTCTCCGCCCTGCCGCGTCGTCCATGACAATGTAACAGGAGTAAAATTTTAGGATTTCAGAATTTTGTAATTTTAGATATCTGAAATTCTTAAGATTTGTAATTTTTATGTGAAGAAAAACTAAAGATTTGGAATTACGAAATTTTAGAATCTTAATAGTTTTAAACGGTGATAATCCATTATTTTAGTCAGTCCAGATTTTTAAGGGGACCAGGCCCACCATGGCCTCTACCTAGTTTATGCCGTTCCTAGCGTAGACCCCCGCTATGACACTTACCGCAACAGTAGGGCCGCTTTTACGACTTGCCACTCAAACCGAGACGTATCTACTGAAAATCGGGAAATTTGAAAACGTTATACTATCTTGAAAACTAATTGAAATCGAGTGTATACATCAAAGTTTAATGAATTCGTCTTGACAAGCACTATTACATGATCTGAAAAAATATATGGTTACAATTAAAAAACAAAACTTGACCATCATATCTCTTAAACTAATAATGCAAAAGATTTTTGTCTTCGGCCAAAACATAGGCCCCCGTTTGCCGTATAATTTCCATATCAACAATTTTTTGTATCATTAATAGTTACGGAATAAGAACTCTGTATCAGTTTAAGTGAGACACCCTGTATAGCTACACGTAAGGTTTCTCTAATTGATAGGAAACTTAATAATAAATGTCCCGAGGGTTTTTAAGCGGTAATGTACAAAGTGCTGTTATGAGTGCACTCCAGCATACGTACGTACTTAATCATTGAATAAAAGTGTTATTTTACAGCACGATATGTATTTATGTACTTTTAACGTCAACAACAGTTGTGTAATGTCTCAGAAAGTTACTGAACTTCGTTATGGAGGGTATACTTTATTGACGGCAATGCTACGGAAGAAAAGCGAGTACCTCTCATCAAAGTGGGTTAACGCGGCGAGCGGCTACATTTCACTTTGTCCATGATAGTGTAAATAATAGCTTTTTTGAAATTTACGAATATATTAGAGTCATTATTGAATTCTTTTATTCATACAATAATGTTCATCGTATGAATAAGTAAGATCTTCCTGTTGAGATGAGTCAAGTCCTTTAGTTTTATTAACAATATCAAATGCTTAATAATGTTTAATTCTAATTTGATTCTCTAATATTACTACATTTTTTCATTCACAATTTTACGCAATGAAGACACAACTGTATATTTTGTTTTTAGTTGCATTGCATATACCGCAGTTCACCAGAGTCCATAACTGCGATGCGCAGGTATGCTCTCTGCTAATCGCTTTCCACTTCGTTTGGGAGTATCGCCAATCAGGGCGAAGATGCGCACTAGAGATGCGCGAAGAACGAAAACTGGTCTTTTCGCAGTTATGGACACTGGTGAACTGCGGTATACTTCTTGCTTTTCGAGCGATGTTTCTGTCAGAATAAGATTTTAGGAAGTTAGAATGTATTTTGGAATTTAAAGATATTGGAACTTTAGAATTTTATGATTTTGAAATTTTAGAATTTTAAAATCGCAGCGTTTTAGAGTTTTAGTAATTTGGAGTTTCGGAAGTTCAGAATTTCAGGATTTTTGACTTTTAAAATCTTACAATTAGAATCTCAGAATTTTAAAATAGTGAGGAGACTAGTCCAACATTTTTTTATGTTAGGGTAGGTGGATACAACCTAATATCCACTGAAACTGTGGGTAAAAATAAATATACAATATCTCTAAGAAGTAAGTAGTACATAATATGTAACGAATAGCTCTCTTAAATATTTTTCTAAACATTAGTTTATTTTGAAATGATTGCATTAACAGTGCAGCTATTAGCAGTCATACATCTCACAGAATAGATTGTACATAGTAAATAATTATTACATATCCCTACATACATTATACTGCATATTTATACAGCGTGAGTCAGATAATTTGTTGTAAATTATTATCTCGGAAACTGTGGCTACTACGGCTTAATTTTTTTTTAAATTAAATGGTGAGAGGTGTCTGATTGTTTAGAGCCTTGGTGGCGAACCTAGGGCACGCCAGCCAGAAATGGCACGTATAACAATTTAGCTAGCACGAGTAATAGTTATACATATGTATATGTATAAAAAAGTACTATTATTTATCGACTGTCGAACTTCTCAGATAGTCGATAAATAATATTTGGAAATTTTTAGCACGCACACGTAAAAAGGATCGCCACCACTGGTTTAGTGTATAAAAAATTTGTATAAAATGGCTACTATGAGGTCAGAATAAACAGACGTCATCTTTTTTACATAGAATGCTATACTAATGTTGTTTATTTATATAGCTTGTATAAAATTGAATAACATTTACTTGAAACATTTTTTGATATTCTTCGTAGTTAACAATTTATGGCAAAGTAAATATGGAAGAAACAAGTACGCGGAGGCATTCAAAGAGAACTAAAACAGTCGTATTTAAAATTCTTTTGATTAAATATTAAAAATGACGACTCTTTACTTGTAAACATGTATTTATTCTTTTTTTAATATTGGTATTCTTATATTAAATCTACTGGAAAATTCTTTCCGTTATTGAATTAAAAGAATATAATACATTTTCAATACATTTATTAATATTTACTGAACAGTATAATTTCCGACGTTATTAATGACTTCTTCTCAGCATGATGGTAATTTGTGGATACAAGTTCTGTAGAATGACTTATCTTTGGAAACTTGAGATGAGATTATCGGATAGAACTTTCCGGTAGACCTAATAATATTGTATAGCGGTCAACATTATTGCAGGTACCGACTTACAAGCATTTTGCATTTGAGTTTTTCTTGTGGGGGTATTTGACGCATAAAGTAATGGAAACTCTACCTACCACAAAAGAAAATATGAAAACTCGAATACAAAATGCTTGACAGTCGGTAAATACAACAATACAGTCTGATACACGTCATACCATTATGAAAAGAATAAATACACGTTTACAAGTAAATAGTCGTCATTTTCAATATTTAATTAAATAAATTTTAAGACAAAATACGTGTGTTTTTATTCTCCTCCAACGCCTCTGCGTATTTGCTCCTTAAATATTTCTTTTGCCATGAATCGATATCTATGAAGAATATCAGAAAATACTTCAAGTAAATATTATTCAGTTTGATAAAAGTTATATAAATAAAAGAGACTAGCATAGCATTCCATTTAAAAAATACGACGTCAGTTTATTCTGTTACCATAGTAACCATTTTATAACAATTTTTTATACACCACACAATCAGGAACTTCGTAGCATTTAATTTAAAAAAACAAAAATTAGATCGATAACTGCTATAGTTTCTAAGATAATAGTTTGTAATACTTTATCTGACTTACCCTGTGTATGTATTTCAAGTATTTCTTCACAGTGAAAATAAATTGAAATAAGGACTGGTTCTGTAACACAAGAAACTATAATATTTATCAAAGTGTGTAGAAATTCGTTCATAGAAGCGCGGAGAAATATTGAAACTGAAAATAGCACTTGAGAAATAGTACCTATATATCAGTATTTAAAATAGTAATTGAATAAAATAATTTTTAACAATTCCACAATTTGAAAACACCAGAATTCCAAAATTCCAAAATTCTAAAATTCCAAAATTTGGTAAGACCAGAAATTAAAATCTTTAGATTTCTAAAATACCAAAATTTTTAAGTTTTTAAATTTTTAAGGGACCTGGCCCACTCCACAGAAGTCCTGGTTTATATATTATTTATATTAGTCCTTCAAAACTGACAGCTTCAATAATTTGTATGTTGACTAATATAATAATATCTTTATTGTAGTAATTATAAAAGTTAAACAGTGAAGCAATAGTTTCTAGGTAGCGGTTGAAACTTCGTTTACATACGGTGTGTTTTATTCAACATGATTCTAGTTTGTGTTCATCAATTTGTCTGAGTTAACTCATAGTTGTTGTATTGTTAACAAGTTGTCGAAGTGCCACGTCAGAGGAATGTTCAATTACGTGAAGCAATTATTCGTGTATCAAACAAAGGAGAACCGTCTAGAGAAATTCCTGCGACATTGGATGTCGGCTAATCGAATGTTAACAATCTGTTACGAAAATACAGTTAAATATTAGTTAAGATCTGATCGATCTCCAAAGAAACGACTATCTGTAAAAAACTTGTAGAAAAAGCATTCCTCATCCGATTTCGACGATTTATGAATGTGTTGCAAAATTCGACATTTTAGGCAACTTTTTTCCTCTAACTTAGGTATATGTCGGATTCGCTTAGTATCCCAAGGTCCCTCGTCATTATAAAATTCAAAAATTCCGAAATTCCAAAATTCTAAAATATAAAAATTCTAAAATTTCAAAGTCCCAAGTGTCCAAAATTTAAAAATTCTAAAATCCTGTCACAAAATCTTGCTTTAATATAAGTAATCACTTTATCTGAAAGGGTATAGCAGGATAAGATGGTCAAAAGTGCCCTTGAGCCGATTTTTTCAGCAATGCACCATTTTGTAGCTTAGAATAAAAAACCATTGTACACCAAGTTTCAACCCTGTATCTCAACCGGGAGGGTAGTTAGAGGGTGAGAAAGAAAAAGTGGTTTTTGCCATATTTTCCCTATTTAATGGCATTCAAAAAATCTGAATAAATTCACAATCATAAAGAAACATGGCTAGAATATTCTAGAATTTATTCAGATTTTTTGAATGCCATTATATAGGGAAAATATGGCAAAAACCACTTTTTCTTTCTCACCCTGTAACTACCCTCCCGGTTGAGATTCAGGGTTGAAACTTGGTGTGCAATGGTTTTTTATTATAAGCTATAAAATGGTGCATTGCTGAAAAAAATCGGCTCAAGGGCACTTTTGACCATCTTATCCTGCTATACCCTTTACTAAAACTTCTTGAAACAAGAATATAAAATTTCACGCAACAAATGTTTAAATTAGCTTGGTGATGAGGTAGAAAAGTAGTTCGTGAATTGTACTTTAAAATAAATGAACACATAATAAAAAATATTTAACACTATTTTCTATGCTGGTGCTGATTTTCCATGCCCCCTTGTAACTATTTCTGATCATTTATTGCTTGAAATACGTTCTGAAATATCAATTGGAATATTCAAAAGCATTACATAAGCGAATACGAGGAACAAACGAAATACATACGATTGCATGAACACTGCTCGTGAGTCCCATCGAAGTTGTCGCAGTGAAGTTGGCTACACATTCACACCGCGTCGTCGGCACCTCGCCCATCGCATCGGCTCACCGACGCGGCGTGAATGTGTTAGTGCGCCAACTTCACTGCGACAACTTCGATGGAACTCATCGTCAGTGTACATACATGCGACCTTTCTTTTATTCATTTTCAGGATATAACAGAATATAAGTGTGAAAACGACAAACCACCGCTATACGTGCCCCACAAACCCGTGACTGGTGTTATAGGAGCTTCCTTCAGCGTAGTCTCCATTATGGTTGCAAATATTTTAAGGCTCTTCAAGGTCAGTAACTTCAATTTCTCCTTCTATTTAAAATAAAAAGTACTATTTTATTTAACAGAATATTGTATTTCATGGATTAGATAAGGCCTGGCCAATTCAAATGATTTCACGGGCCACTTTGATAATGTATAACGTTACAGCGGGCCGCACTTTAGGTAAACATGCTTTTAAAAAATGTAATAAAACGGATCCGAGCTTGTGCGTAGTGGTTTTTTGGTGTTCTCGCAGCAACGAATAACGGACTGTTGGTTTCGAGAACTCCTAATTCACTATTCACAGAGATAAAAGAATTCGTTCGTTCATAACTGCATTCAATTGACAGATGAACGTTACCGATGGTTGCCTAACGAAACAGATTTTTTCGTTTGACGTTCGTGGATATCAAATATAGAACTGGAGATCGTAGTCGTACTTGCGAATTATTACAGTGACACATGAAAATTTTCATTTATTTAATATTTTTTGTATACAGACAACGAGAAATAAAACTTTCAATAGAAATGTAAAATCGCCCGGCGGGCCGCGCGTTGGCCAGGCCTGGATTAGATCATCCTTTGTTATTTTATGATTTTGCATAACAAACATCGTCTTGTTTTTAACAATAAGAAAGACAAAAAAACCTAATCGTAATAATAATGATTAGAAACCAATTCTTATAATTTAAAAATTATTACATTTTAATGTAGATTTTTTATGATCGCATGCATGAACTAAGTCACGAATAATTTGTACTCTGTTCATTTTTAACCTTAAACAATTTACACTTCTTTAATTCCACTTTACATGGAGACTGCAATAAATAAGCTAAGTGTGATTTAATATCTGGTGATGTACACCTATTCACGAAATTGAGCGTACACCCTTTAAACCAAACTACCTCTTTTAAAATTGATTATATTTTTTTAATTGAATTATCTGTATAAAATATCAGAATCCTAGAATTTCAAAGTTCTAAATTTGCAAAATTTCAAATTCTCTCAATTCCAGATTTTACAATTTCAAATTTTTTAAGGGATCCCATTTCAGAAAAAGGTCCAAGTTATGCCAACGGTCGCTGCTATAAATATTTCGGTTTTACTGTGTATTGATGGTGTACTAATGTTTTTGTGATTCACAGTGTAATAGGTGCGTGCAAAGTATGTATTCAGATCCAACGCGTTGAAAACAATACGCGTGTGAATAAAATTAAATTCTGTGGTCTACATTTTTGCACCCGTTTTAACGTTTCACATACTGAATCACATTTCATATTTATGACATGCATTATACAAAATCATACATGAACTCGTGATTCCTTTGAAATGCTACAACTTGCAAGCGAAAGTTTTTCTTTCCAAAGGAAAAAATATACTAAAAAACAGTGAATATAAATATGCATACAATGAATGATAAAATGATTAGAGCTACAGTATAAAAAATAGAGAATTCGGTTGTGGAGCTGGTTATGATAAGACGTGTGCGAGATTGAGCGGTACATATAGGTGTGAATGAAAAAGAGAGAAGAAGAAAGTCGACACTTGATATAGCACAGAAAGAGGTAGAAAGGTACAGATAAGGATGGAAGAATTAATTGAAGGTAGGGTAGGAATATAAAGAAGAAAAGAGAGTGCAAAGAAAGCGTAGGAGGTTGAGGTTAGGAGCCAAGTGAGAGACAAGAAGACATGGGCACAGTATAGGAAAGAACAGTAGGACTAATTTGAAAAGCACTCGGTACAATCAAAAAGAAATTTCGTAATAGAATACCATAAAAAGACTATTAAATATCTACATTTAATTAAAATATACATTTTATTGAAACCTCTGTACAATACAATTGTTATATACAACAATTATTCAATTAATAAAGTCCTAATAAATTATATACAAATGTATAATGTATACAGCATATCTTAGAAATTAATAAACATCCCATAAAGTGGTAATATTTTGATAAAACAATGATGATAATAATAATATTGTCTATATCTAAAATGTACAAGAAACGTTGGATAAATATCATTTGACAGATATAAAATATAGGGTGTCCCAGAACGCCTGTTACTGCTTTCACTGCTTGCACTTTGGCACCCTTTGAAGGAACAACGGTATCCACCTCTTTCACAAATATTTTATATCTCTGTATAAAATTAACTGAATTTTATCGCAACAGGAATGTTTTAGAAGTAACAGAGGTTAAAATGCAAGAAACTATTATCATATATATTCACAGCCGCCATATTGTTGGTTGTGCGATTCGGTCATGCGCGAGCGACAATTAATGGTACGCTTATTGGCAGAGTGATCCTACTGTTCTTTCCTATACTGTGATATGGGTAGCGGGAAGAAAGGGTGCAGCGACTAACTTTGCAGGGCACTAACGCGCCATCTATACACACAGCCGACCCTAGTACTAGCCGTGCTGAAGTAAAAATGGCAACACCGCGTGAGTCCGGTCTGAATATATTAACACCTACTCTACTCTACCTGCCTCCCGGACTCCCAGCCAATCAACATCGTCAGACTCCCGGCTACTCTCTGGCCTTCACATAACCTCTTTGGTTTCGTTCCAATAATTTCGCTTGTTTCAAGGTTTTTATTAACTTATATACACGTTTATTAATTCTTAAATGTTTCAATTTGATTCAAAGATGGTTTCATTTTGCTTCATACCTAAATTTTCTTGAAACCACTGTAAATATTTCAAATATCATGCTTCACAACACCAAACTACTTTGAGAGTACACAAAATATATATCACATTTATAACAATTTTATACTACCACATCACTTCTATTTGCCATAGTTGCAACGTTTATGTATTGTTTATACATAATTAATACAAAATAGTGTATATTAGTACAACATTTAATTAAGAAAGACGTTCATTATAATTCCGAGCACAGGATTCTGTTTTTGAAAATAGGACTCCCGATTGTCACGTGAGCGGTGTTGTCACGTTGTTCAGCATAGCTAGTACTATACTCCGTACACACAACTCACGTGATCGGCTCTACGACTGCGGTCATTGGCTGCCACATGTTACAACTCAGGGCCAAGTTATGATGGTCCCTTGCCGAGGGCTCTTGCATGCAAGGTCAGGCTTATCTTTCGATGTGATGTGGGGATTCGGAACCCGTAAGTCGGCCCTGTCCTGTTCACGTGCTTGGTGACTCGTCTCGTTGAACGGAGTATAGAGTCGGTTGTGTCGTTTGGTTTAGTTTAGTATCTTTTAGTTTAAGTAGTTGGTAAGCCTAGTTTTAAGACGCGTACCCCCGATTTTTGTAAGGGTACATTAGAAAGCGTTGTGATTGTGACATTTAATTACCGAAACCACATTTCCCGCGGCTCTCCTTGAACCGTTCCACTACAATGGCCTGGAGTGAGAAACACCCAGGGAGAACGAGAGGAAGAAGAGAGTAGGAGAGATCGGTTAAGTCGGTAAAGAAGGCAAAAGGGGAAGGTGATAATACCCCAAAGAATGGAAGAGGATAAGGATGGGAAGAAAATAGAGGAAGGAGGTCGGATAAGGGCGGAAGAAGGGAAAAACCGACGAATGTGGAGATGCTGAGAAAAGAAAGGAGTAGTGCGAGAAGTATGGTAAATCTAGAGGAAATATGGAAGAGAAAGAGAGAGGAGAGAGGAGCTGAAGAAGAGGTGAGGAAAAAGACAGGGGAGTGGGTGGATGTTCAAGGAAAGCAAATTGATAGGGACATCTCCGGAAAAGAAGAAAGAGAAAAAGGAAGAAGAAGAAAGAGAAAAAGGAAGAAGAAGAAAGAGAAAAAGGAAGAAGAAGAAAGATTAGGGGAGAGGATGGAATCAAACATGAAAGTGCTAGGGAAGGAGCTAAGAGGGGAGATGGAAAAAATAAAAGAAGAAATGGAAAGAAGAGAAGATAAATGGATGAAACAGAAGAGAGATATGGAAAGGAAAATAGAAATACTGATGGAGAAAGTAGAGGCGTTGGAGAGGGGGGTGAAGCAGAACGTAAGATGGAAGGAGCTAGATAAGAAAGTTAAAAAGATAGATCAACTGACGGAAGGGAAAAGAAAAGAGGAGGTATGTGAAGAAATATTAGGGAAGAGAGTGAGAGGATTGGAAAAGAAACTGGAGTGGAAGGAAACGGAAGAGACGAAGAAAAACATAATAATTAAAGGTATAAAAGCAACAAGAGAAGAGATTAAGAAGAGAGCGGAATGGATTCTAAAAATAATTGGGGTAGAAGAGGCAATAGAAGAGACAAGATCGGTGGGGTATATAAGAGGGGGAAAGGAAGTGAATATGATACAGATAAAGTTAAAATCGACGAAGTATAAAAAATAGATTCTTTGTTGTTATGCGAAATTAAAAATTATAATATGACAATTTTTATTCTTGGTAATTTCTAATTAACAATTTCCTGTTAAAAATTGAACTTTGTTTATGTAATTATAAAAAATATAATTAAAAAATTATAAAAAAATCAATTATTTATGCAGGTGGCTCTAATAATTTGATCATCTATTGTATGCATGGAAAATGTATTGCTAATAAAACATATATTAATGCACCTATATGTGCGTAGAAAGTTTTTTTTTGTGTGACTGCATATTAATTATAAATACTATTTTATCTATACTATCAATCTTATCGATGGTTGGTTATAGTACTATGTAATTACTGTTTAACCAAATGAAACTGAAAAGAAATAAAGATTCTGAAAAAATTAAAATAAAAATTCTGAAAAAAAATTAAACAAATGTTTTTAATCTTTTGCAACAGAATGAATTATTTATATTAATTTTTCATGAAATTTGGTATTCTACTAGGTGTAGTTTTATTGGTATTAAAAACAAAAGAATATCTTTATTCTGCAATGTAATTATCTTAAGCAAAGGTACCATAACCATCGAAGAACGAGCTAAAAGCGAAACGACACAACAGGTCGATACAGGCTCATTTGTAACCCACAGCTGAACTTTCGTTATGCAAGCATTAGATCGAGCTTTTTAATGCAAAATGTGACTGAATTTTACTTTGTGACATATAAATTTCATCCGTTCAGAAGTTACATATACAGGATGTTAAATTTCAAACATAACAAGTAGAATATCTCGTACACAATGCATTTAAAAAAAAAACGTTTCGTATAAAACTTGTAGACTTTCGAGGGGCGCGTATTATAGTAATGCTAATGTGACCTTGGGCAATATCTTCAAGGTCAAATTGAAGCTAGAATAAATGTTTTAAACGGAAACCCGTATTTCTTATCGTAACATCTTATTACATTAATTAATTTAAACAACTTTTACCTGAAGCATTTTTTTATTTATCTAATATTTTTTTAAAAACTTGGTAACTTGAAAACTTGTTCTTCTAGTTACACCTACAAATTTCATCTGTTTTAAAGATCTATTAATAAATTATTACTTCTTTTCTGAATCGTTTCTTTCCGTCATTTAATTTTCAATGGTATTCTAGTCAATTAGAAAAACATATAATAAATAGACTGAACATGTGTTCAAAGTGTTTACATTGTTAACGCCAATCCACGCAATTTTATACTCACTCAAAAAGATAATTACAGTAGTGCGACTTATGTGATCATTAGAGTAAGTTGTGTTACCAATTTCTATTCTTTTATCACTTGCCGTTATGGTATGTTACACTGATGTGGAATATCGTGGCATGCTTTTAAGTTATGGTAAATGTGGACGAAATGTTAAAGACGCTGCTAGAGTTTATCATCAAAGATGCTATAGCTACGAAATACTTGAATATTTGAAAATACAAGGTGTTCGACAACAGGTGGGAGATTTTTAAAGGGGTGATTCTAGGGATCAAAATAAGACGAATATCAAGAATGACGAAATAGCGTTTGCGGCTTTGTTTTCCAGTAATTAATGTTTAAAAATTCGAGTAAAAAGCGTCTAAAACCTGCTATCTGCCCAGCAACGACGACTGAACGTCAGGTCAGCAGAGGTGGGTACAGTCATAACCAAGAAGAGAAAGCCGAATGCTGCAGAATAGCACGAGGTAAGTTCCTACTATTCAATGATTCTTGGTTATGACTGTACCCATCCCTAGTGACCTGACGTTCAGTCGTCGTTGCTGGGCAGATAGCAGGTTTTAGACGCTTTTTACTCGAATTTTTAAACGTTAATTATTGGAAAACAAAGCCGCAAACGTTATTTCATCATTCATGATTTTCGTCCTATTTTGATCCTTAGAATCACCCCTTAAAAAATCTCCCACCTGTTGTCGAACATCCTGTATATTAGATAAATAAAAAAAAATAATGCTTTAGATCAAAGTTATCCAAATTAAATAGTAAAATATAATTTTGTAATAAAACATATGGTTTTCCTTCTAACAAATTCATTCTTACCTCAACCTGACCTTGAAGACGCTATCCAACGTCACATTAATAATATTACGTATGTTATATGGCCCCCGAAATTCTACAATTCTTGTATGAAATATTTTTTCCTGAAAAGCATTGTTTACGAAATATTTCACCTGTTATGTTTGAAATTTAACACTTTGTATAAACAGTTGAGCGTTTTCAGTATATTTTGACAGATTATTTTGACGCCATAATGGCTTCTATCCATAACTCGTCCAATGAGTGAAGTCGATATCTGTAAAGAGATGCACCAGATAGCGTTCATTTTGGTAGAATAACTCGAACTTATTTATAAGTATGCTTTACACGTGTTAGGTTAGGGCATCTCTACGGACCAATCAAACTATAGATAGAAATCAATATGGCGCCAAACTAACCTCAAAAGTGCGATAAAATCATTCAGTTTTACATACGCATAACTTTCGAACGGATGGAAACTTACATTTTTTAATTTTTCTCGCCGAATATTATTAGAACTGAAACAGTAAAGGGAGAGAATGTCTTAGAAAAATATTAAATATTTACATTACTTATATAAAATATTGTTTTGTTTTGTTGAAATATTAATATTTATTTCCTACGCACATATAGCATTTAGATATTTTTCAAGGAAAGTAATGGGTCAACAGTGACCCAATGTCGGCTAGACAAGGAATAAACAGACAATTTTTAAATACAGTAGTTTTAGTTAATTTTATGAAAATAAACATTAAGAGAATTGTTTCATATTTATAACTATGAATCATGAATAAATAAATAAAAGGATGATAATTACTCTGACTGCAGATACCACAAATAAGCTATGCATCAACGAGCACAGAACTGTCGGATAAAAGTCGCTTCGAATATTTCAGTAGAGTAGTACCGCCAGATAATTTTCAAGCCCAAGCCATGGTGGAAATCATTCATCAACTCGGGTGGAAGTATGTTTCAACGGTCGCGGTTGAGGGTGATTATGGAGAGAAGGTAATTAAATTTATACGCTCTTAGTACGAACAAAAAATTTTCATTTTTCATCAGTTAGTCTAATGTTCGCTTTATTACTGTCTTCTTTATCTTTTTAATAAACCTTGCCTTATGAATTTTAAGTCCGTAGCATATTGCAATACGTACATTTCGGAATATAAAAGTAGAACAGCATAAGAATTTAAAAATTTCATAATGAAATATAACTAAACAATAGAACTGCATGTCATTTATTTACACACTTATTTTTAATGTTAATTTGAACATTGACTGTTATAATAAAAACAGTCTTATTTGAATTAATTTTTTAATCTGATGCTTTAACTTAATTCTTTGGATTAATATTGTAATTTCATGTGTTCAAAATTTATTATTGTTCTTATTTTTTATTATTAATTAAATTTCATTCCTTACGCTTACCGTTAGCATTTCTATGGTAGTAGACCATTAATGGTGAAACATTAGGTATACAAATTTAATGATTAAAAATGATGGTACGTTTTATTAAAAAAGTGAATATTTATTCAAATTAAGAAACCAAAATTAATATGTTAATCATCGCACTGAGTGAAAATAGACGTTATAGTAGACTACTCCTGTTATGTATGTTGCCATGTGAATATTTTGAACGTGAACTTCCACCATTATAGTCTATAAAGGTGATACCCGTCTATCTCTTCTCCCCTTCCTCCAAAAAAGAGCTTGAAAGTTTAAAAAATTTTTCATTCTTGCAATCCCCTCGCGGCAATATAACGAGAGTCTACTGTAGTAAAATATCTACAAACTCTGATTATTAGGAAAATGAACAGTTTTTAATTTTTAATTTTTAATTTTAAGCTTTTAATAGTAATAGTATTCAAATTTTTCTTTTTTTTATCTAATTATTTGAACATATTATATTTGTAGCGTTAGTTACTAGCCGTTATGGCACTTTATCTATTAATATTTGTTAAGTTTCATATTGTATATGTAAGGTATACTGCATTTGCAAAATTCTAATTGTATACTTTTGTATTTCGATCAAAATTAGTGCTAGACAACCAATGATACAGGAAATTCTCGTTATACATATTGTCGTCAATGGGACTGTAGGAGTGAAAAGATTGTCAAGCTTTCAAGTTCACATTTGGAAGGGGAAGGCGAAATAGAAATGTATTATTTCCATACACTATACTATGATGATGAAAGGGTGGTACTAGTGTTCTTTAAAATCCATTTGAACGTCAAATCGCTCACGTGGCAATATGTATAAAGAGAGCCTACTGTATTTACATGTACGAGTTTGTGCAATATATAATATAACAATTTCATCATCCAAACTGTATTTTCAATGTTAAGATACATTACTCATTAACTGCAATTAATTGTATTAGCATTATTAAACTCCTGTGTACAAAACATAGTTTTTAAGTGGTACATACTAAAATTCTTAAATTTTAGTTTTGGTGGTACGAATTCGCAAAAAAGTTGAGAACCACTGGCTTAAAGATTTTTGGCTCAGGGTGAATACGAAGAAACGATTTCTTTGGTTAAATTGACGAGCATTGGAGCATAGAGTCTATAATGGAAGGACTTTTCCCCGAGGGTAGCTCGCCTTATGACTTTTAAACTTCTAAGTTTCTCTTCTTTTTTATATTATCTTTCGTAAGCAGTGATTTTTAAAAACCATGAAATCTTAATCTGTATTTAGCTAGAAAAGTGGTACAATGTTCTGTGAGGAGTGGGGAATACTATTATAGTTCGTTTGTGCCGAATAGGAAAAGTTTTAAAAACTTGTAATCATAAGATATGATGGGTGGAGAGAAAGATTCATAGAGATCCAGACTTACCAAAAATTAAATGTATAATTTTTAATTGAAAATGTTTGATATTTTAGAAAAATAATATTTAAAGAAAATGCATAAGGCTGTAGCAGGATAAGATGGTCAAAAGCGCCATTGAGCTGATTTTATTGAGCTATGCACCATTTAATAGCTTAAGAAAAAGAACCGTTGCATACCAAGTTTCAACCCTGTATCACAACCGGGAGGGTAGTTACAGGGTAAAATAGGAAACACGATTTTTGCCATATTTTCCCTATTTGATGGTATTTTAAAAAATTTGAAAAAATTCTAGAATATTCTAGACATGTTTGTTTATGATTGTGAATTTTTTCAGATTTTTCGGTTGCTAATCCTAGGCGTGAAGAATCAAAAACGCAAAAAGAAGTGGAAAAATTGAGATTTCGGGTAGAATCGATTTCGGCACTATATTTTTGATTTTCTCAATAGTTACATATTAACATGGCAAGTATCCTGAATTTTTTTTCAGAATTTTCATTCTGGTGTGTCAAACCGATATTTTCGACATATTTCGTGCGATAAGATGAGAAATACCTTGAATTTTTACATTTTCTTTACACACTTACAAGTAAACCTACGGAAGTGTCACTCTCCGTTTTTTTCTGAAATTTGAATATGTTATAATATATGAAAAACTAAGGGACACATTTTTTTTTAGCGGCAGAAGAACATATTTAGGGAGTGAAACGACCCCTCAAAATGGGGGGTAAAATGGAAAAATTGCAATATCTTTGAGACCAGTGAAGCGATTTTAATGATTTTTGGTACGAAAGTATCTTTCGATAGAAGACGAAAATCGGCCTAAAAATTAGGGGGTGAACTACCTCTAAAGTGACCAATTTCTTGCTGCAAAATATCCGTTTTGATCTGATCGAAATAAAACCTATTAAAACTTCAAGAGGGAAGCTAATTAAGGAACGCGTATTTTTTTGATTTTTTTTATAGAAATATTTGGGGGGTAAACAACTCCTGAATTGCCGCGCTCGTTTGGCATTGCGCATGAACTATAATATTACCAGTTATTTGTTCACAGATTTATTTAAATATATCAAATAAAAGGGTTATCCAACGTTATATGGAAACTGACCGGAGGTACAATACCTTCCCTTTTTAATCATTTTTATAACATACATGTTTGAACAGGTAGAAACTCTCTTCCTGTTTCTCAATTGAACCATCAGCATCGATTTTCGTTAATAATTAGACATAAATTTTTACGAATTAACTGATCGGTCTAGTTATTTTACTAAATTAGTTGACAGTAACAGTATTTCTTCACTTCCTGAAATACAAATTCTCTGAAATATTGGATACTTTATCACTGCAATAGGTAGGCAATAAATGTGGTTTATGTACGATGGTGCACCTTACCATTTCCTTAGATGTGTGGTACAATGTTTCATAAAAAATGGATTGGAGACGATGTGCTTATATTTATGGGAACGTTTTAAAAATATCGGGTACAATAAACTTCTGCTATATCGCTGCTCTTTATATTGCCGGTTGAGCGAGTTCCTCTTTACATAGACCAGAGGTTCTCAAACTTTTTGTCTGACGGCACACTAAAATCATTAAACAAAATTCACGGCATTTTTATCCTTTTACAGTTAGTAAAGATATGAAGGCTTTTATTAATATTTGTCTTTTTACATGTAAACAATTCATAATTTCGCGGCACTCTTGTGGCGTACACAAGGTACTCCACAAGTCTGCGTACCAGAAGAAGGCACAACTCCAGCAAGCTAAAAAGTCACAGAGGCTACTCCACCTAATCTAACCAGTCCTAACTTCATTATTGTTTACTTGAGCCTTGGCGGGTTAGCAACTCGCTTTTGCGTTAAAGGGCGCAATTGCTCTAAATAAATCCACTCCCTACCTGCCGGCCACCCGGTGGGGGGGCCTTACGGAAGTTTCCCCAAAGGGTATCAAAAGCGCCCTTGAGCCGATTTTACTTCGCAATGCAGCATTCGATAGCTTATCCCAAAAAACCATGGTACACCAAGTTTCAACCCTGTACCTCAACCGGGAGGGTAGTTACAGGGTAAGAAAGAAAAAGTAGTTGTTGCCATATTTCTTCTATTTAACATTATGCAAAATATCTGTAAAAATTGTAAAATATTCTAGACATGTTTCTTTATGATTGTGAATTTTTTCAAATTTTTCGGTTGCAAATCCCAGGCGTGAAAAATCAAAAACACAAAAAAAAGTCGAAAAATTGAGATTTCGGGTAGAAGTTTTCGAGCGACTAGATTTTTACTTTCACAGTAGTTAGATATTAGCATGACTATTACCTCGAATTTTTTTCAGATTTTTAGGTGTAGTGCAGCGTACTTACAAAAATCAAAAACCGTCGTTTTCGGCATATTTTGTACGATAACTTGAGAAATACCTTCAATTTTTACATTTTCTTTATATAGTTAGTGAATTGTCTGATTTTTTATATTTTGCGTTGGATGGAGCAAAATCTGAATGGAGAGAGTGGAGTTATTGTAATTAACTGAAAATTACGCACCTTATCTTCTAAAATATTAGAAAGTTTTTCAGCAAAGATGGTCCCGACTGTGGAACCGCTGGAAATTTTTTTGACGCAGGTTCGCGCTCCATGAAGGTCCAATGAGTTATGAGTTATGTTGAATAATGTTTATATAGCATATGAACATAGACACTAGCAGTAGTACCAACTGTTTTTTATTCACTGTATGTTTGTCACATTGATTTTCTGTACTGCTTTCTTCTTTATGATCTTCTTTAGTTTATAACGGTTTTTTGCTACTTTTATGCAATAGTCAACGCGTCGTTTGTACTTGAATAAATCTTTTATTTCTGCATACATCTCATTCAATTATTAATTACAATAATTAAATCGCAACAAGTTAAAAATATTTTTAGCTCGTAATTTTATAAATTAAAATTTTATTATTATTTTTTTTTGAATAAGAAAATTTGTTAATGCGGACAGGTAAAAATTCTCCACGGACCGGCGGTTAAGAATAGCTGCTCTAAATAACTAAATATCTCGCAAACTAATCAAGTCCGACATAGCTTAGAGCAGTATTTCCCAACGTGGAGCCCACGCCTCACAGGGGGGCAGTTCGAAAATGAACTCGTCCAGAGTTTAAGTTAACCGTATGGCAACTCTCAGTCGCTACTCGAGCTGGGTAAACGTCCATAATTATTAATAATTACAATAATATAGCAAAATCTTTCATTAAAATTATTTTCTACTTGTATTTCAGTTCTCCATTATATGTTTTGAAAATTGACTTACTGTATTTCCTCAACTTCTAATGATTTCTTTGTAAAACCTATCATTTAAGTTTCTTCAGTAAACAATTCAATTTTTGAATATTAAAAAGTATGTTTACGTTACCTAGAGGGTATAAGAATTTTAGAAAGGCTTAAGTGGGGCATAGCACAAAAAAGGTGGGGAAACACTGGCTTAGAGGAAAAAAGTTGTTTAAAATGTCGAATTTGATAACATATTTAAAATCATCGAAACCGGAGGGAGAGGACCTTTTCTACAAGTTCACCAGATCTTTTTGCTTGTTATGCTGAGTACACACACTCAACTTTGACCCCTTCTTTTTTGTACACTCTGTACAGGTTGTGGTCGGGACACGGTGACAAACAGTGAATTCCCTTTTTAGGGCAGAATGGAAACGGAGAGAAAGGCTTTACGTTGACGATACGGTGACGTTGCGGTTAAGTATAAATGGACCTTTTTACGTGAGTTTCATTTTATGCGATAAAAAGTGTTTCCGTTCACGCGGAACTTTTTGTACACATTCTCGTTTTACGCGATCAAAAGATACATGTTTTTGTTGTTGAATTTTTTAACACTACACACTTGACGTCTCCCGATGTAAGCTATGTATTATATCCATGGGGATAATACAATTCTATTTACGCAATTGTCAATCGGGAAAGAAAAAAACCAAATCTTCACCACAAAACGAAAGATCCATGTATTTTTGAGGTAGTGTTTCTACGCGTGTAAATTTTGAATGCGGTAAGGGTGTTAATGTACGTATTGGATAGAAAAGATAACTTAAATTCTATAAAAATTTCAGCACATGTAATTAATTACCTATTAATAAATGCAATGATTATAGCACAGTTGTAATAGTTATTCAAAAAGAGACAAATTATCATTAAAAAGAAAAAAGAAAAAAGAAAAAAAACTTGGGAACCATGGACAGTTAGATTGCGAGTCAAGCGTTTTACCGCGGAGCTAAGCATATACATATATGTGTTACTTTGTCATGCTTCTCAATGTAAGGAGTAACTAACTTTAATTGTTAATATCTTTTAAACAATTAGCCGTCTGCCCCCAAAAAGGGGTATAGGCATGTTCAGGGCGACGAGCTCTACAAGGTGGCAAAGTTTCATTAATAAGTGAGCGTAACACTTGGGTAGTTCTCCTCGGGAGTTGCATTGAACTTGTCGCAGTGAAGTTGGCCACGCATTTACTCACCGACGCGGCGTGAAGGAACTAATGAATTTGTAGCCAACTTCACTGCGACAAGTTCAATGCAACTCACGATACATCGCGGATGGGCCCGAAAGCACCCATTGAACGTATTTGGAAGTTCGAATCTACTCTCGGTCAACAGGAGTGATACCTCTAGTATCTTTTTGTACATTGAGTTGCATTGAACTTGTTGCAGTGAATTTGTAGCCAACTTCACTGCGACAAGTTCAATGCAACTCAGTGTGCCTCTAGTTACTAGAGTCTAGTACATAGGCCACAGCCGACTCTAGTACTAGCCATGCTGAACAACGTGGCAACACCGCTCACGTGACAATCGGGAGTCCTATTTTCAAAAACAGAGTCCTGTGCTCGGAATTGTAATTAACGTCTTTTTTAATTAAAAGCTGTAGTAATATACACTATTTTGTGTTAATTATGTATAAACAATATATAAACGTTGCAACTATGGCAAATAGAAGTGATGTGGTAGTATAAAATTGTTATAAATGTGATATATATTTTGTGTACTCTCAAAGTAGTTTGGTGTTGGAAGCATGATATTTGAAATATTTACAGTGGTTTCAAGAAAATTTAGGTATGATGCAAAATGAAACCATCTTTGGATCAAATTGAAACATTTAAGAATTGATCAACGTCTATATAAGTTAATAAAAACCTTGAAACAAGCGAAATTATTGGAACGAAACCAAAGAGGTTATGTGAAGTCCAGAGAGTAGTCGGGAGTCTGACGACGTTGATTGGCTGAGAGTCTGGGAGTCCGGGAGGCAGATAGAGTAGGGTAGGTGTTGATATATTCAGACCGGACTCCCGCGGTGTTGCCATTTTTACTTCAGCACGGCTAGTACTAGAGTCGGCTGTGACATAGGCACAAGGCGCCTGGAGGGTGTTTCATCCCACTCAGATTAGCTTTTTCGTCCCTATATCGACACTCCTTATGCCGACAACGAGTCAAGTGTTGGGTCTTCCGTACCCGGAAACGATGATTGGCCAGCTCACTAGTGGACAGTTTATCCATACCCGGCGCCACTTGGAGAGTGGTGGCTACAGGGGAGTGGATTTATTTTAAGCGCAAAAAGTTCCTTTTAACACCACCGATATAAGCTAAAGCTTGGGAACGGCAGAGCGAGTTATTAACCCATCAAGGTTCACTTTCGACAGTAACCTGTACCTCTAGTACAAAGAGTACAAACATGGAAAAATGATGGGAGAAACGTGTAATTATATTTATAATCAGAAAGAATATATCGATTGACATACAAAGCTCTTTCTTGTGAATAATTGTAAACAAATTTTCTTCTATAAAAACATATATTTCACAAATTTTTAAAAGCCAAATTATAAAACTGGGCTCTGTACAGGATCTACCATTTATCTCGGAATCCGTGCGCGCGCGAACTCATGAATGTGGCAATAGCGCAACGTTTGACATGATCGGCGATACTCTGGTCCGAGATTCGATTCGGGATACGAGTATGTTTGTCTTTCTGCCGATCGCGCCCGAGTTTTGCCGAGCCGAGCCAAGCCGACTCGAAGTTCCACTGCTGGTCGTGCATACTCGTATCCCGAATCGAATCTCGGACTAGAGTTCGGTCAATTACCAACTTAACTCTAGGGATTTTCACATCATTCCCCACAGCTCTCTACATGACATTATACTTTCAGCAATGGTTTGCAGAGGGCGCATCTATCGAATTTTAGCGCTGTTGCTACATTCATGTGTTCGCGCGCGCACGGGTTCCGAGATAAATGGTAGACCCTGTATAGCTGTATATAATTACAGTAAGTCCTTGATTTACGCGGATTCATAGTTTGCCATAAACATTGTTGGTTTATTTGAATTTTCCTTTCAAATGAGTACATACATATAGTGTGTACAAAGCAGATCGTATTAATAACCTTTCAGTGGTGGAGCTCAGATACTATTCGTCTTAGGAAATCGCTAACCGAATTAATCGCGTAAGTTGAGGACTCACTGTATACAAAGAATGTTTTAATAAAAGAATTATAAGAAAATATTGCTTCTTCGCTTCAAAATCTTTGATGTCAAAATCACTGTTCGACTATCGCGCTGTACTTGTCTCTCTATGCAGCAGAGACAAGAATCGTTCGGAGTTTCTCAGTTTCTCCGTATGAAGTCTCTAAGATTAATCCGGATTTAGACCATCACTTCTGTTGTTATAGTGGATATAACGGAGGTGTCGCTTCAAGTATCTTACACGACACTATCTTATTTTGTGCTAAGAGATAAAACCCAAGCCCCAGGTTCCCTTGGCCATTTCTGCACTAATGCAAAAATTGCACTGAAGCAATGCTGTTCAAAGATTTGCCGCGGTAGCAGGCCTCTTATCAGTCGGGGCAATTTTATATAAAATATTTGAAACAGCAGCTCTACTAACCCGAACTTAGAAGAGTGACATGCTCAACACGCCATATTGTTTATACTGCGTACGGCGGCACACGAGCGTACTGATCCTAAGCAGGCGTTAATTAGAAAGAATACAGGGCGTAAATCTTCGGAAAAACTGAATAGAGAAAGTATTGAAAAAGAGAGAAAGAAAATATAAAGCGGGTAAAGTGGGTAGAATACAGCGTCTGTTATTGCTATTCGGAAGCTTATCTCGTTACAGGGAGCCCCGAAACTTCAGGGCAATGTTTGGACAGGTCTGCATTAACTTGGGTTTAGTTGAGCCCAAATGAGTTTCATAACTACATTTTCCGTCATATTTATTTAACAGGCTGATAGAGCAATAACTATGTTTTAGGATTGCTTCTGAATGGTAGGGTTTTGAAACTAGTACAACCCTGTTGAATTTCCATTCGTTTGAGAAAAAGTTGGAAGAACGTTTCTTTATAAAAGTAATATAGTCGGAACATAACTTTTTTAAAAGGTGCTTGAACTGTTCTGTTCTGTTATGGGGAACATAGGCCTTGTCACTTTGTAGGTTCTTGATGATCTGTTGAATCTTGAAATAATAGGAAGGATAAATAGAGAGAAATGATAGAGAGAATGCAGATAAATGTGAGTTAAGAGCACAGACTCCTTCGAGGCCCGCTCCGAATCAATTTATTTTGGAGAAATGAATGGTAAAACTTCCTCCATATATTCCGGAAAAAAAACTGATACTTACACTGATATTTATATATTATTCTCTTAGTTTTTATGATGTACATGTATAGAGAAGACAAATCATTGATCATGATTGGACTGACTTTTCCTTATTTTTCGGCTGTTTATGTACCTACTAACTAACCTACGTGCAATCAATGAAACGTATGACCAAATGCGAAGGTTTTATGATCCTATTCACCAGTAGCCACTCGGTAACCTATCGTTAAGTGTGGTACTTACGTTTACGGCTATGCTAGAAACTCGTATGCTACAGGTTACACGTTTTACGTTCAAGATTATACGTTTAAGATATCTACACATACTGTTATAACAGCGGACCTTACGGTTATTGTATAGTCATAATCGTTATACTGTAATGCGGTTATCTATCTCCTTCCTTTCTTTTACTATAGCAATCATTGGAACGAATAACGATATAGGTAATTCTTTTTTGTCGCCACTTTGGTCATTCATGCTCCACACATAAAAGTCTGACGTCAGTTAGCATAAAGTTAAGACAAAACATAAAGATAACATACAGTTTCACTCAATTTGATGACATAAAAGTATTACTAATAGCTCTTATGATACATCAGTTTAAAGCTTAAAGTTTACTGAAGATGACTGTGTAAACGTTTCATATATGTTTTGAATAGAATATAATTTATGTCCACTTATATTTTATTTCGAAACTATTTATAAAGCTGACATGATTTAGTGACATAAAATTATCACAAAGTGCCACTTTTATTATGTCTATTTGAAGCCCAAAGTTGAATTAAAATAAATATATATTAAATTTTTATTGACAATCTGAATATAAAATTAATTGCTAGATATTGTTTACATAAATATTAGCAAGACAATTATCTGACAGTAAGTAAGGTGATTTTCATAACCCTTGGATGGTGGACCATGGGGAGGGCCCTAATTTTAATGTAATTGAGTGTAACACTTGGGTAGGTTTACTTGTCAGTAACGCGTATTAAGGAATTTTTTCAGATTTCTCCATTGCAAATTCTAGTTGTAAAAAATGAAAAACTGAACAAAACATCTGAAAAACGTGATTTCTTATTGAAAATGTAAGAATACTACTTTTTTATATTATTGTGATAATAATATATTAGCATAACTGTTATTCTCGAATTTTTACAGATTTTTTGTTAAAGTGTGCTATATTTAAAAAATCAATTATTTCGCGTGAGAAAGTAACTTCTTCAAATTTTTGTCTTCTTTTCTTAAAATAGATATTAAGTAATCTTAAATGGATTCACGTTCACACAAATAGTATATAGGTTAATAGAATTAACTTAAATAATTAACACTATGCTCTGTGCGATACACAGGGTGTCTCAGGTCAGATAATACAAGCGGGCAAGAGGTTGCTTCTATAAGCAAAAATAAGCCGGAAAAAAGGAATCAATTTTTTTCGTTTAATAATTGCTTTCGTTTTCGAGAAAATTGATTTCGAAAATTCGTCGAGTTCATATGCACTCACAATAAAGGTACTCGATATTACCTTACTTATCATTTTGTGATATGCTATAGTACATAAACAATGTTAGAAATGTATTTTTTATACGTGCTAATTTGTTCAATTAAAGGTTGGAAACCACCATCAAGTGTTACCCCGAAGAACTCGAGTGTTTTTTCTACATATCTCGATAATGAATTGGAATTGTTTAATGAAGTTAACGACAAATTATTTTTCATTAAAGGCATTATTTTTATCCTAAAGGGTTACATCTCCTACCTTACATAAAGAAAAATAATATTTTTCTGACGTGCATTTTGAAAAACGAAGCTCAAACAAACACAAAATTTATTCTTTTGCTTAAAGAATCACCCTTTGCCCGGTTGTACTATCCGAGCTGAGACACCCTGTATACCAAGGTGTTGAAACTTGTTACGATTATAATAGCATCGCTGGCGAAACGGTTAATTAATTTTAGTAAATTCGATGCTTTGATTTGATATGCTATGAGTGCTATTTTCTAGTACCTTTGATGTTCTGATATCAAACAGTCCAATTGCAATAACCTAATAACAGTAACTAATTATAAGTGACAATTGTATTTTTATATCTCTAGCTGATATTATAATACTACGTGATACTTAGAATCTGAAACTTTATACTGTACATCTTGCTAAGGTGGAAAGGTGATTTATTATGGAAGTGGGAGGAGGGGGGACATCCGTGACAAGGAAAGTGGAAGCGGAAGTGACTTGCATAGTGGAAAATGGAGATGGAAATGTAAGCCGTGAGATGTGTAAGGGAAACTGCAAAAGGAAAATTCTCAAAACATTTCCGCTGTTTTAAACACTGTCATTCTCCTTTTTAATTGTTAATTAATATCATCTGCAAAATTATTTAACGAGCAAATTAACGAAGCTAATAATGAATTTTGAGTGTCGATAAATTGCGTGTTAGTAATCTTGTTAGGGTTATGAAAATGAAATAAAATTTGACAGAGTAGACAATGAAAAATTAATTAAAAATTAAGGAAAAAATATTTCACCCAATGATTTTTTAAATTTTTCTCAATAATATTTTTCAACCCTTGAATGGCATAATAGAATCTTTGTTGATCCAATGTACGATTTACAATTGAAAAATTTAAAATTCGTTTTCATTTTCATTTTTTAAGGTTTGTTTTTTTATTCAAATGTTATTTTTCTAATATGGAGAGTTAAAAGGAAAAACTGTTGTAGTTCATTTCAATTGAAAATTGAGATTTCATCATCAATATATGTCTGATGAATCGGAAAGTATGTCCTTATTATTTTACTCCCTTTTATGGCTGCAAAAACTCGCTTCGAGTTTCTCATTTCTTATTCCTAAAATCACTTCAAAATGATGGTTTAAAAAAGATCATAATTCATCTATGTTTACTTTATACGTTTGAACTCAGTACCAAAGTTTCGGAAACTGTTAGAACAACTTGGAGAACTTTTGGATATGCTCTTTCAAGTGGACCAATGATGTAAAAGTGGCTTAGAAAACTGAAAGTAAGCAATAACAGTCCTAAATGAAAATCATAGGAAGAACAAGCAGTCTCCTTGAATAATGAAATTTCAACAAGGAAAAAATTATTACTAAAGACTATAGGGCAAGCTAAAGTGAAACATTAAACAGTTTATGTAGTGTCTTATTTTTCCTCTTTGTTTTAGATCCTATAATTTTATAATAATAGAATAAACTCTCTTTATACTGCCGCGTGAGCAATTTGAGCCCTAAACGAATTTTCAAGCATAGGAGTGTCACTCTTTCACCATCATAACCTACGAAAATAATACAATTTTATCGTCCTTTTGCCTTCCAATTGAAAGGCTGTAACCATGAAAAATTTTCCATCCTTACAGTCCTGTCCGCGTCAAATTAAAAAAATATTCAGTGAACAAGGTGTTAAAATTTATTTCTAGAGAATTTTTAATTCTGTCATTTATTAACATAATTCTGTAGAAGGATATATTTTTTCTTTTATTAATTCTTCTAAGAGAAATTTATTTCTTTAGTATTTTTATTTCTGCAATTTATTGATCAAATTATTATTTTATTTATTGAAAGATGGAGATATGAACAGCAAGAGATATTCTATCAATCTAATCTCATACATAAACAAATAAAACCCTACATATATGATAAAAGTTTCTAGAGACAATTCTTTATTACCTTAGGTATTAGAAATGAATGAAGTCAGAGCAATTTCGAATTGTGCCATTATTTTACCTCATTGAATTTATGTAACATTTATATTTTTGCAGATACGATGAAATGTTCATGATCGTTGAATTAAGCCACAAAAACTTATATGACAGTATTTCAATTAAGATTAAACGTATACATTTTTAAACAAATTGGATTTATATATAGGAAAACACTAATTAAAGGAATACTGTAAGCCCTGATTATATTGCCACGTCGGCGATTTCTCCTTCACACGAATTTTCAAGCATACTAGTACTTTATCTGTGGCAAAATAACGAGAGTCTACTGTAGTGAAAAACTTAAAGAATTGAAAATGAAATAAAATATAAAATTAAATTTAGATTATTACTCCTTCAGGGAATTCTAATAATACTTTAAATTATAATATTTGTATTTACAAATGAATATAAATTATTTTTTAATATGATAATTATTTGACATATATTGTCAAGGTCGTCATTTTAAATAACTTTTGGTAATTATGCACCTCCAATGAGCTTGACCTTGACATATGTTGTTAAGGCCGTGACCCTAAGTAACCTTGACCTTGAAAAAACTGGCGGTCGCGATCCGTTTAAAAGTTACGAAGCATTAAAGTTTCGCGTTTTTTTTTCGCGTTTTCGCGTTTCAAACAACCTTTTCCTATACATATAACCGCCGCTTGGCCATAGTACTGACACTGGTCGCAGAAACCATTGTGAAAAAGGGCAATCCAGATGTCCATCGATGGCTGGTGAGAAAGGCGTGGGTGTCTTTTGGTAAATTTGTGACGGTTTACTCCCGCCGGTGGGTGCCGACTCAGTCGGTTGGCCGGGGGACTCGAGAATGAGCCGAGTTGTGTGTATAAGATGGGTTTAATGTAAATGCTATATGTACAGAATATATATACAGTCTGCTTAACCCTATGGCCCTGAGCTTCCTCCCATTCTACGGGTACTTATCTCTATGCTTAACGCTACGCGGCTTATAATTATGGCTTATCGCTACCGGCTTACAAGCTAACGGGGTGCGGCGCTGCGCGGTTCGGTCCGGTGCTGTCGCGGTGCGGAGGTAGCGGGAAGTCTAAGTTGCTGCGGAATCGGATGTCACATCTGGGGCGGATGCGCGTCTCGTCCGTCCCGACAGTGGGAAGACCGTTACTCCGGCAGACGCCCGGCAAGCGTGCGGTCCGGTCCCGCTCAGCGCTCAGGAAGCCGTCTGGGGTATCCCCGACAGTGGCTGGCGGAACAGTGGTACCTTCAGTAGCGGTCGCAAACGCGACTGGTCACTGAACACTGCTGGAGAATTGTAAGGAGTCCAAAAACGTGGTTGATCTGTCTCGCTATGGCGCATACGTGGAATGTCGCTCGCAGAACCGATCTGGCTTTACTCTGCTCACGCAGCGGTATATAGTCTCTCGCGAGGCCGTCTGCCTCGCGGGTTCGCGCTCCGTGCGGTCGCCACCTGGCGACGGTGTCGATAGTAGACGCGGGCCGGCGGCGCGGCGGTACGGTTGCATGCTCTCAGGGGCTCGCGAGTTCGCGGCCTCTATATATACAGGGTGTCCCAGAACTGGGGTAGGAACGGAAGAGGGATGATTGGTGAGGTCATCCTAAACAACTTTTTCCTTTGCCAAAATATTGGTTAAGGCTTCGTTTTCGAGTTATTATCGAAAAACACTGGCCAATCAGAGCGCGCCGTTACCGCGGGCCGAACCACGACAGTGTTGGGTATGTTCCGCGCGGTCGTGATCAAGTGCATCGGCACCACGTCGGTGTAATAGGATTCGTTGTTCATGAGTAATCAATAATTCGATACAATTATTCTTTTCTTTTTTTATTCATTATCCGATGCAGCTTCTATTTAACGAATCCCATCATACCGACGTAGTACCGAGGCACTTGATCACGACCGCGCGGAACATACCCAACACTCTCGTGGTTCGGCCCGCGCTAACGGCGCGCTCTGATTGGCCAGTGTTTTTCGTTAATAACTCGAAAACCAAGCCTTAACCAACATTTTGGCAAAGGAAAAAGTTGTTTAGAATAACCTCACCAATCATCCCTCTTCCGTTCCTACCCCAGTTCTGGGACACCCTGTATATCTCCTTACAAATTCTAACATGCACATATTGCTTGCCGGTCATAGTGTTGTTATTTATAAAAGTAAATAGTAGACGACAAGCGGCAGTCATTTTTTGAATTTTGGCATGCGTAGCCGACCGCCTCACGGCGGTCGGAATATTAATTTGGCCTAACCTAATCTAATCTAATACAAAATTAAATTAGTGAACTTGTTAATCAGTGAATAAGGTTAGGTTAAGCTAGAATAATATTCCGGCCGGCGACAGGCGGACGGCCACGCAAGTCAAAATTCAAAATCATTTAAATCAATTAAGTTTGATTTTTTATTTCACCCGTTATACTCCTTAGGTTTCGGCCGCCATAATCTGTTTATATAATTATAAAGCAGCAACTTTACAATTTTTCCTAGGAATGACAAAATATTTTCAGCGTTTTAAAATATAATAATTTTTTATTCTACTTACTTCCCGACAGAAGTTGGTCCAATCAATGACACTGCGTGCAGATAAACACCGAAAAAAAGCGAAAACTTTAATGCTTCGTAACTTTTGAACGGATCGCGACCGCCACGTTTCTCAAGGTCAAGGTTACTCAGAGTCGTGACGTTGGCAACATATGTCAAGGTTAAGCTCATTGGAGGTGGGGGTCCTTTTATGCATAATTACCCAACTTTTCCCTATACATGTTACTGCCGTTCAACCTTAGTTTCTGCGATATTCGCAAAAATATTTTTGTTACACTATATAATATCTTTAATATTTGGGATTGCCATGTTTATGGTGGCTCAGATAAGGTTTGCAACAGTGGCGGCTCGTCGCTAAAATTAGTAGGGGTGTTGTTCCAGAAAATTTTTAGCGTTCGTTTTAAAAAACCGGCACTGCGGGAGCGACAGTGCTCTCTCTCCCTCACAGCTTCGCATGCAGCTTCCTATGTGCGCATGCGCACACAGTCAAACACCACGCTGCTGGAACTCTAAAGCGCACAGTTCCATACAAAGATTTTTGTATCTTTTTCATAAACTGGGGAATGGCTACTGACATTAAGCTTAAGGATTATATATTGTACAAGTAGAAGGAAGAAAGAATTGAAGAAAAAAGGACTCATTATATTAAATGTTCTCGATACATAATATCAAGTGGAAATAGGGGGTGCTACAGTTCTACAGTGCCTATCAGTTTGTCATTAAAACAAGGAATTGTAGCCATAGCTTATTAAAAGGCGACGGAATCTGTTGAACAAACATAGTTTTTATCGATATTAGTAATAATTTGTTATTGATCTTGCTCGTTTCTTGAGAAAAGGAACAATAAATTTTTGAATGACCAAATAATGCGTTCACACATTTTGCTTTTGTGCATCAAACAGGATGCTGGTTTTTTATTGTAGCCAACATAAAAGGATAAATGTTACAATTAGGTGGCTGTTACCAACCTTGCATTTTTACATTAACAGTTTTAACCCTTAAAGGGTTAAATAAATTGCAACACTGTTAATATAAGAAAAGATAAACCAATTATGTATTAACCAATTAAATATTGTTCCTGTATATTTTTTCAGGGTATCGCAAGTTTTAGCGCACTGTCGATGGAATATGGTATCTGCATAGCGGTTAGCGAGAAAATTTTAAGAAACGCCAAAACCGAGGATTTTGATAGAATTGTTGAACGGCTCAACTCGAAACACAACGCTAGAGGCGTTGTACTATTCGTCGATGAGGATAACGTAAGGTAATAATTGGTCTCCCTCTCGTCAACCGTTTTTATAAAACCTTTTCAAGAAAATCATTAATCAACCCTTCAAAATCTGACGACCGGACCAATGTTATCCGGATCCTTTCACTGAAAGTGTCAAGGGTCGATTCAATACTATCGAATCTGTAAGATATATTATACAATCGTTACTTGTATAGAGGGTGAGGCACGTAAAGCATGACAATTAAGTATTATGAAAAATATTGATAAAATAGAAAATGTATTTAAGAAAAATTTAAGGATTTTAGGTGGTACGCTTAATTTTTTATACAGTAAATCCTCGTTATATTGCCGCGGACGGGATTGTAAAAGCAGAAAATTTTTCAAGCTTCTAAGCTCTCATTTGGGGGGGGGGGGGGTATCATCTTATTAGTAGGTTGTGATGGTAAAAGAGCGATACTAGTGTGCTTAAAAATGCATATGAAGGCCAGATCGCGCACGTGGCAACATAATAAGAGTTTACTGTACATGAAAAATGGACTTTTGTAGGTAGATTGACTTTCTAAAACATTTTATAAAAAAATATTAAGATATAATATTAAAATACCTGTTTAATAATTCTTAAAATATAGTAAATGTTGGTATGACATGTTTCACATTTGAATTTCAAATTAATTTAATTTAATTTTTAATTTATGAAGATATGTATTAATTTTCATGTGGAATGCTATTTAATATAAACACCATATACGGCTCTTATTTTGATAATTTTCCGGTTTTCATAATTTTGTCAGATATTTGTAAAAATTCATATGTTACCCAGATATAAGTGTCATGACATTAAAAGTATTAAAGATTTGTTTACGTTATGAAAACATTGTTTATTATTTTTTATAACAAAAATAAACATTTATGTTTTCAGAAAACTTCTTCAAGCGACTGTTAAAGCGAACCGTACAGGTCATTTCATGTGGATAGGCAGTGATTCATGGGGTGCTAAAGTGTATCCGGTAAGGGATCAAGAATTTGCAGCTGAAGGAGCAATTACAATTTTACCTTACAGAATATCTCTTCAAGGTAAGCAATGCAGATTTTCTATCGATTTAATTATATTTTTTAATTCATTTCGATAGAACGAAAGAATTTAATAAATAAGATATAATGTACAGTAACGAGCAGAGTAGGCTTCCCTAGGGAAAATATACAAAAAGGAGGCTTTGCTATCTATTGCACTGCAAACATTTACTCAGGAAAATTGCATTATTGATATGCTGCAATTAAAGGCCATATATCTACGTTCTCTGAGATAACTGTAGATCTATCAACGTAGGTAACTCTCGAGCCCCAGATTTAATTCAATCGTGTATTTTATATTATTTTTATTTTTTAAATTTTACACTGTCCCTTTAAAAATTATTCTTGCAATATATGAGACTCTTAATATTTTGATATACGTATGTTTTGTAAGATTGGGTCATGGTTGACTTTGGCTCCGCTATTCAAGAATTTATTATGTTTTTAAAACAATCAATATTAACGTAAATACTAAAATGCTTTTTGTAAATTAGATATAATGCATATGATATCCTTCCTCTACATATATCGCTATTTTTTCTACAAAAGTCTACAGCGTTTAATGCTGTACACTAAGGGAGTATCATACATATGTAACCAAGTAATGGTTCCATATATAGGGTGATTCTCTCGCTAGTGTACTCAAACGAAATGCCGCCACACCAGTATGAATGTGCCCGAGCCCTTTTCTTTCATCGATACCTCGACGGGGGTGCATACTGCAGCTGTGGGCGCGAAAATGTGTGTAACAAGAAGGAAACGTTTAAATGGGACTTTCCTTCGTGTTACACACATTTTCATTCATGCACACAGTTGTAGTATGCACCCCCGTCGAGGTGTCGATGACAGAAAAAGGCTTGGGCCCATTCATACTAGTGTGGCGGCACTTCCTTTGAGTACAGTAGCGAGAGAATCATCCTGTAGTAAAATAAACTGAAATATGAAAATTTCAAGTCAAAAGCTTTCTCTTAAAGAGAATTGGATGCGAAAATACTTATAATATTACACATGCACATTCAGTTGGGATACTGTTCGATCAATCTTGATTTAATCATTCGCATTTTTCTTTATATTAATAATGAATAATAATAACTATATCGAAAAACAATATAAAAAAATATATTTAATCTATCGTATAATAAGTTATTTAAAATTCACGCTTTTTACAATTTTTTCAATAACATCTTCAGGTATTATTATTTCATTATTTTAAATTGTAAATTTTTGATTATTATAAATTGTATTATTAATGTAAACAAATTTCTAAATACAGTATCTAGACTATCATTATATTGCCACGGACGGAGCTGTAAAAGTGGATCATTTCTCACACTTCCAAACTCATGGGGGGGGGGAGCATTAGAAATGTATGATCTTCGTAGACTGTGGTGGTGGAAGTACGGCACTAATATGCTTGCGAATCCATGTGAAGGTCAGATCGACCACGTAGCAATATAACGAGAGTCTATGTTTTAGAACAAGCATATTCCTAATAAGATTTTTAAAACAATTTTTATTATATATTTAATCTACAAATAAGAAATTTCTTTGAATACTTTGAAACTGTTATTCATAGGTTTCGATGATTATTATTTAAATCTTCGTCCAAGAGTGGACAACGAATGCAATGGTCAAACTGAGAGCAACGTGCCACACAAACATTTACCTGGAAAAATCGTGAATTGTCGGAATCTTTGGTTCCGTGAGTTTTGGTCTCAACATCATAAATGCAGTTTTAATGCAAATTCGTCAGTGGGTACGACTCGATGCACTGGAACTGAGAAATTAATTGATTACGAACAGGAAGGCTTAGTGCCATTTGTAGGTAAGCAATATTTTTAGTTTTCAATCTTAAAGTATTAATTCCAAAATTGAATACTGTAAAACGTAACATTGGTTTGATACAATTCGTGTATAAAAAGATACAATTTATTTAAAAAATTGTAACAGTGAAGAGCACAATTAATTTAACAATACCGTTTTTAAAAAAATTGTTGATTGTACACATTATTCCACTATTCCACTATTTCCAATTTTTAATATATTTATGAAAATATTTTGGAACATCTTTAATATTTTGTTCAATGATTTGTAATTAAAAAATATAACAGTACCATCTATACTAAAAATAATTATAAAACAACTCAGCTTTTCTGTTACTTTGTACAAATACATAATAATTTTTTCAAAAAATGATTTGATTAGTTAAGTTTTGCTTCTCACCTAAACAATTTTAAAAAATAACGAGCAACAAATTAAAATATTTTCTATATAAAACTGAAATATCTTACTTGATTACCTTAAAACTCTTTGGTTCAATACCGCTTTTGTTTTTTTAAAATAGATTAGAATTTTGTTTATTTTTGTATCTAAATATTATGTGTTAAACACTGGCGTAACTGGGCAGAGATAAGGGTAAATCTGCCCCCCCCCCCCCCCCCCCCCCCCCAATTGTGAACTAGCTCTAATCAATCACCATTCAACTAGTTCCTTCACAATTTCAAAAGTTCAAACAGAAGTTCCCTAGTTCCAAAATTTCACATTTTCAATATTTCAGGATTCAAAAATATTAGTACTATAGAATTTCAAAATTTCTAAGGGACCTATCCCACCTCAGAAGAAAAATCTTAGTTACGCCTATGATGTATTACAATAGGCTCTCGTTATATTGCCGCGAATGAAGCTATAGAGGGGGACAATTTTTCAAGCTCTCAAACTTTCACTTGAAGAGCAAAAAACAGATAAAAGTGTATTATTTTTGGGAGCGATGATGATGAAAGAGCACTTGAAAATCTGTGTGAAGATCAATATAACGAGAGTCTACTATATCTCTCAGGAAGAGGCGGCCAGGGGCCCACTGGGAAGGGACCCAGGGGCAGGCCATTGAAAGCTGAGACGATGGGCAAGGTGGGCTTGTCGGAGACTCAGAGTGGGGTCCAAAGGACCATCGCTCCGGGCCTCCGTACGGACCGGGGAAGAGGGGGCGCCGCGGGTGCCCCTTCGAAAAAACGCGGGGTCAATAAATGGGCCGATTCCAGGGCACGCTAAGCACCAACGCGACACATACGAGAGGAGGTAATACTGCAACCCCAATGATTGCAGGATGCCTTTCCATCTCGCAGATCAACTTGCAGCACTGCAAAGTGGCCACGGACCTGCTCCGTTGGCGCCTTGCGGCGCAGCACACAGACGTACACAAGTACACAGATATAGCCCTAATACAAGAACCTTGGATAGGCCAAGGGCAAGTAGGTGAGCTAGATCGGAAACAAGGCTCCATCTTCCATGGGGACTTGGAGAACGGACCCAGGGCGTGCGTCTTCATGAAAAGAGGGCTCGGGGCAACGAAACTGACAGAATTCTGCACAAGAGACCAAGCAGCAGTCTTACTGCCAGCTGGGGCGGGAGGTAGCCGGGAGAATCTGGTGGTTTGCTCAACCTACCTGCCCTACGACTCTGAGGGACCCCCGCCTGCGAGAGAACTCAGAGAGCTGGTTGACTACTGCAAGGTCAAAGGGCTGCAGCTACTGATTAGGTGCGATGCGAACGCGCACCATATCGTCTGGGGCAGCAGCAATATTAATAGAATACCTCTACTTTTAATTTACTAGAATACCTCTCAACCACGGACCTGGAGATTCTAAATAGAGGCTCCAGCCCAACTTTTATTACCTCCAGGCGACATGAGATACTTGATATCATGCTGGGCTCCATGAAGGTGGCCCAAGCTATACAAGATTGGCGTGTGGACGATGAGGCCATGCTCTCTGACCACAGGCTAATCACGTTCAAGTTAATGACAGAGTCAGACCTAAGGCCCTCGGAAACATACAGGAACCCTAGGGCCACCTGTTGGCCTCAATATTGTGAGAGCCTAAGGGAAGAGCTCAGAGGGCACTGCGTGAGACCGAGGACTGCGGAAGGAGTCGAGATCGAGGTCGCAAGACTGCAGACCTCGATCATCGGATCCTACAAAAGGTCTTATCCTCTAAAACAAAGGAGAGAGAGCAGAAGGGTTCCCTGGTGGGATAACGAGCTGAACAAGCTCAGAGCCAGGGCTCGGAAGCTACTGAATAAGGCCATGAAGGCTAACACCGAAGCAGCTTAGGACTCATATAAAGAGGCTCAGAAGGGTTACAAAAAAATGATCAGAACATCTAAAAGGAGGACCTGGAAGAACTTTTGCCAAGAGACTGAGGCCCTACCGTTGGTAGCTAGGCTTCGGAAGGTATTTGTATCCGGGCCCCCACAAAAACCGGAAGGACTAAAACTTCCAAATGGAGGTGTCACACCAGACGTTGAGGCACCTTGTGGAGTCGCACTTCCCAGGCTCGAAGCTGGTACTGGAGGAACAGTTCCAGGAGAAACGGGCACAGGACTAGGAATTGGCCTCCAGGGTGGTCACAATGGACAGATTAAGATGGGCTATTAACTCATTCAGCAGGTACAAAAGCCCGGGTGTGGACGGGATCTTCCCGGCTTTCCTTCAGGAAGCCGAAGAGGACCTGTTGAGGCAGCTGTGAAAGATATACAGAGCATGTCTAGCACTGGGTTACGTACCACAACAATGGAGAGTAGCCAGGGTGGTCTTCCTGCCTAAGCCAGGCAGAAGTGGCTACGACACGGCGAAATCTTATAGGCCAATCAGCCTAACATCTTTTCTGCTTAAAACGCTAGAAAGGTTGGTTGACAGGCACGTCAGAGAGCATGCACTGGCAAGGAAACCAATACATGCCTCACAACATGCATATCAGTCGGGCAAATCCGTGGAGACGGCGCTCCATCACCTTGTAAGGGAGATTTAGGAAACCCTATCTCAGGGAGAGTCCGTCGTGAGTGTATTCATAGACATAGAAGGGGCGTTCGACAGTACGTCCTTCGATGTGATGAATGAAGCTGCGAGCAGCTTTGGAATTGACGATAGTCTGGTTACCTGGATCGACAATAGGTTACGGTTTTCGTTGAGGGCACGCATCGCAAGGGGATGCCCGCAGGGGGGAGTCCTGTCTCCCCTGCTGTGGACCCTTGTGGTAGATGGGCTGCTCCGCAGGCTCAGCGAGGAAGGTTTTCTGGTGCTAGGGTATGCAGACGACATTTGCATATCGGTCAGAAGCAGACACCCGCACTACATAGCGAGGAGACTGCAAGAAGCACTCACACTCGTACAAGAATGGTGCCTATCACACAACCTCAAGGTAAATCCTACCAAGACGGAGATGGTACTGTTCTCGAGGAAAAGGTGCTTTGATTTCAAGGCCCCCACACTGTTCGGAGTGGATATTAGTACATCCATCTCAGCGAAATATCTAGGGGTCACCCTAGATACAAAGCCAAACTGAAAACTCCGCATCGAGAAGCAGACACAAAAGGCAACCGCAACCTACTGGGCCTGCAGAAGGATGTTTGGAGCGACGTGGGGTTTAAAACCAAGAATGGTCAGGTGGATTTACACCACAATCTTGGTACCCCAACTAACATATGCCTCCGTTGTATGGTGGACCTCTATGAGGAAACACTGCAACAGGAGTGCATCAGGCGCTTTTCGCACCACACCGACCATGGTAATGGGGCGCTCTTGGATCTGGCACTGCCACACATAGTTGTGGAAGCAGAGGCCAGAAGCACAGCCGTAAGACTGTTACTAGCAGGCAAATGAAAGGGGGCGTCAATGGGCTACGCGTCAGTCCTTAGGGAATTCAGGATACCAGGAGGGACCCTAACACTAGGGGGAGACGCGTGTGACCTGACATACTACTTCGATAATAGCTTCCGGGTAAGAATCCCGTGCAAAGAAGCATGGGAAGCAAACCGGGAGAAACTCCTTACTCCGGGAGGGCTGACCTGGTTTAGGCCCGATACACACTAGCGGTTCGGTCCCGGTCCGGTCTCGGTCTGGTAAAATCTTACTGCACGACTAGATCCACACTTTGGCGGTTCGGTCGCGGTCCGGTCTCGGTCCGGTAAAATCTTACCGTACGACTAGATCCACACTATTCGGTTCGGTCCCGGTCCGGTCTCCGTTCGGTAAAATCTTACCGTACCCATACTGCTATGCCACTTTCGAGCCGCTCTCGATCTGATAGTCAATTATAAAAAGTCTTTTTCGATTGTACTTTTGGCATTAGTAGATGCAAATTATAAATTTACTGCTGTAGATATAGGTTCATATGGAAAAAAAAAAATATATATATATATACTGATCGAATTGAGTAACCTCCTCCTTTTTCAAAGTCAGTTAAAAAATAATGATATTAAACAATTTCCACTAAAGAAATATTTAATGCGGCCTTATCTAGGATCAAAAAGTATAGACGATATTAAAAAAAAAATATTTAATTATCGATTATGTAAAGGAAGAAGATTAGTCGAGTATGCATTTGGGATTTTATCACAAACCTTCAAAGTTTATTGTAGAAAACTCATAGCTAATCCTGAAAATGCCACTACAAGATGGAAATGTACAAGCTGAAGCATTTCAAACGAGGGAGCGCAGTCCCGTCCCAGGAAAATATTCTTCGTGAGAAATCGAGACCGGACCGGGACTGGAGCGTGATCGAACCGGAGCTGGAGCGGACGCATAGTGTGTATGCTCTCATAAGATTTACATTGGAGTATATTTTACCGGACCGGGACCGGACCGGGAGCGAACCGAACAAGTGGTTCAAGTGGCTACTGTTCGAGAGCGATTGGGACCGGGCTGGGATCGAAGCGAGATCGTCGTGAGATTGGAGCGTGACCGGACCGGAGCTGGCAAGTGTGTATGCTCTCATAAGATTTACATTGGAGTATATTTTACCGGACCGAGAACGGACCGGGACCGAACCGCTAGTGTGTATCGGGCCTTACAGACGGCTCTAAAACCAATTCGGGTACCGGAGCAGGAATCTGGGGGGAGAGGCCCAGGGCGGAAATATCACTGTCCCTGGACCTGCATGTATTCATCCTTCAGGCGGAAGTATTTGCCATATGGGCCTGCGCCAAGTTGAACTTGGAACGGGACTATAGTGACAGTAAGGCTGCGCTTGGATCCCTACGAGCCACGATAGTGCGATCCAGGCTAGTACAAGACTGCACAGACATGTTGGAACGGTTAGCTGGAAACAACAACTGCGTCAACCTGACGCGGGTACCTGGACACGCAGGTATCCCGGGAAATGAGAAGGCGAATATGTTGGCAAGGGAAGGAGCCAGATGGCCCGGCCCAGACTCAACATATCGCATAGGTGTCGCCAGGGGGGGGGGGGGGGGCGGTAAAGGAAATGGTGAGGGCGTGGGCGAGAACCCAGACCCACCAGACCTGGAACCGCACCCAAGGTATGAGACACGCTAAGGCCATATTTAAAGGGCCATCGACACGTCTAGGCAAGACTCTGAGCTGCCTAGATAGGAATCAACTGCGTCTACTCATAGGGCTCATTACTGGACACTGGTACACGGGGAAACGCCTGATGCACCTAGGAACCGAACGTGAACCTGGGTGCCCGAGATGTAGAGAGGAGGATGAGACCCCTCTCCACTTGAAATGGCGTTGTAAAGGACTGGAGGCTCAAAGGCGCTTTAGCTTCGGGCTCCCGGTCTTTGACGGCGCACAGGTGGAGGACATTGGAGTGGGCAGGCTTCTGGGCTTTGCTAGAGAGGCCGGCCTTCACAGTCTACCTCAATACTACAGGGTGATTCTCTCGGCACGCAACACAATAGCCGTGCCGCACAATGGAACCCCTGCTATTCCGTTTCTTGTCTTCGTCTCAGCCATAAACACACACAGAGCAGTCTTGGGTCCGGCGATATGGCCCCTGGGTCTTTTTACCTGCAAACACAGCAGGGTTCCATTGTGCGGGACGGCTATTGTGTTGCGCGCCGAGAGAATCACACTGTAGAACTGCCCATAAGGGCTCGGGCACAATGGTCCCTAGAGGACTGAGTGCCTGGAGACCTAGCAGTAATAATAATAAATACTATATCTCTTCTTTAAATATTAGTAATAAAAATAAAAAATCTTGAATTAGAATGTTTGATGAATTTCAGTTGATGCTGTTTATGCAATGGCACACAGTGTTCATAATTTAATCGATGAAGAATGCATGAACGATGATGGATCGACTCATTATTTGTGTGAAAAACTTCGTCCAGCACCTGATGGACACGAGCTTCTTCGACACATACGAAATGTCAGTTTTATTGGTAAGCGATAGTTACATTACTAATTTTAGGTATTTACTAAAAACAAATGATTGCTGATTTGGGGCATAAGAATCTTACAATTAGTAATTTTTCGTAGAAAAAAAAGTTATATCATCTGGTATATTAAAAAGTATTGGGTTCTACTTAAAAAGAGGTGCAAATGCATTTTCTAAATATCATAAATGCATAAAATTTATTTTATATTATGCACACTCGTGATCAAATCAGGCTTCCCTAGGCAAAATGGCGAAATAGGAAAAGTAGGAATTCTTAAAATTTCAATTTTGACGACATTAATATTAAAAGTAATTTGAAAAATAGCAATATAATTTTTAATGATAAAATATTATAAACTTTAATATATAATTGAGAAATATGAATAATAAATGGCCATTCCACGCAAAGTGATCACACTTTTCCCGCATGGTCTTGGATTTTTGTTAAATTTTGTAGGCTTGTAGAACCCAATGTGCACCGTCGAAGACGTTTTGCCACATTTTTATTGCCTTTTAAGGGTTTTTAGACAAAAGTACCAAAAACGTGTCGACCTATTCTGTAGTTGTTAACCGATGGCTGGTTATTTGAAAAGATATAGAGTAGCGGCGCAGCAATAAAATTTTATAACATCGGCAATTCTGCGTGTTCCATCATGAAATTTTCAGGGTATTTAGAAAACTCTTTAGAGATTCTACAGAAAAAATGTCAGACCGATTCGTGCTCCCCCTTGGGGTTATTTTCAAGTTTGAAAACTATAAACATTATTTACAACAATTTGAAGATTGCATTGATACACGTAGTAATTTTTTTATTAAACCTTGAAGTTTTACCTATAAAATTCCAGTTCATGCATGTCAATATCTATAATACTTTCCGAGTTATGATTTTTTGAAAAAAAAGTGACCCTAAATTTTCAGTCCTTATAACTCGGAAAGTTTAAACAATATTGAGAAACGGAGCATCGATTTTTTGTTCGTACATTGGGTTCTACAAGCCTATAAAATTTAACAAAAATCCAAGACCATGCAGGAAAAAGTGTGATCACTTTGCGTGGAATGGCCCAAATACATATGAATTCAAATTTTCCTGCGCAAACGTTTGCACACAAATGATGGGGAGCCACAAACCTATACAATACAGGGTATTCTCCGCTACTTCGTCATTACTCTCGAGAACGCCTACGAGAAAAGGCGGGAATTCGGGACATCGCCACTTTTCCTAGGAAAACCAGATCTGTAATGATATACAGGGTGTCCCAGAATAAGTGTTAGTCCTTTAAAAGGGAGGTAGCTGGGGTGATTCTTCTAGTTTGTTAAATAAAATGATGTTTCAAGGATAGTGATTTAGAATTTCTTCTGCATATTTGTAGTTGATGTGGTACATAACATATCACAATAAATGTCCCTTAAAGCATATTTCGTCACAATGATTAACAAGTTAACCGCATACACCTTAAAACTCTAATTATTAAGGACATGAATGTATAATTGTCAAATATAAATAAGATGATGTATATAACTTAATTTTTAAAGAAATGAATTTACATTAGTGTAACTGTCAGATATACAACAGACCCTTGTTATATTGCCACGTAAGCGATTTGACCTTCACACAGATTTTTAAGTATCCTAGTGCCACCCTTCCACTGTAATGACCTCCAACTGAAAGTTTGAAAACTTAAAACATTTTTCACTTTTACACCCCGTCTGCGGCAATATAACGAGAGGCTATTGTAAAATCATTTGACCACAATACTGTGGTGTGTGTACTGTACGCGTCTGCTAAGTTGAGACTCCTAAGGAATTGGGTCTGATTGATCGGAGCTAGATGGGCCAGACTTAGACACGCACACTTATACAGTTGACCCACACGCATTTTCGCTATTCGCTCTCTACGTTACAACTACTAGTAGAAACTACTACTACTACTACTAGACGAGGGTTCGAGGTGAGGATTAGGCGGAGCGTTTCACACCTCGAGTCTGAACTTAGTAGACGCTTACAATACGAGGGCGCGCGAGCGGCTCTTCGGAGTAGGCTCTGCGGGGGGTGCGCCAAGTAACAGCATTGCGTCGCGCCGCGTTGCGTAGCAATCGCGGAATAATCGACAGTCGTGTCGTTAATTGTCGGTAGAACGGACGAAAACGGACGAAGACGGTCGATAGGTCGGGCGCTACGTGCGTGATTGTTGTCGCAAGTCATATCTTCTTTTATTTTATTTTATATGCGTATCGAAGTTTGTACTGTTTCTTATAATAAACAATAGCCTTAGATCCACGCTGCTTTTTTCGCGCGAAGCAAATATTCCCCGCTATTCTGATCCCACAAATTTTGGGGGCTCGTCCGGGATCAGATACGAGCACGCGTATCAGAAAGTGGAATATTAGTGCGATTCCAGTGTGGATTGTGAAGGATATAGTGGACGTGTCGAACAAGTGAACGATCTCGTAAAGACGTGTTAACGTGACAATGCTTCCGAGTGAGTTTACTGTGACGGAACTAAAAGACTTGCTGAAAGCTCACGGTGTGCCTACAGCGGGTACGAAAAACGAGTTGATAGCTCGATTGCATGAGCATGACCCCTCAGGTCAGTGGTTAAATACAGGTGGCGAAGGTGAAGCAAGTAACGTCACTGACGACTTAAGTGCTGCTGGTGGAACTGGCGCAGCGATGTTGACCAGGGACGACGAAGCAGTGCAACATCGTCGTTAAATGGACCTTCTTCGGCGAGAAAAGGCGCTGATGGAACGAGAGCTTGAGATAGCGCGGCGAGAGCTTGCGCTGGTACAGGGTATGCAACATTTCAATGTGTCCGAGAAGGTACAACCAACGCCTCAAAATGCACAGCCTCGAGTGAGCGTAAAAACGATTTCGGAACTTTTAAATTGCTTCGAAGGAAAATCAGAACACTTCCCGGCTTGGTCGAAGCAGGTGCGAATGTTACAGGCAACGTATCGCCTGAATGATGATGAGACGAAAAGCGCAGGAATGGATGCACTCTCGTGCTGAGTTTATTGCCATGAATGTGCAGGAACTGTTAGCAAAGTTCGAAAATATGTTTTACCACCGACCGAGTAAGATCGTAGTGTATAAACAGTTTCAAGACCGCGCGCGGAAAAGGGGTGAATCGTTTGACGACTATTTTCACGATAAGATTATTAAAGCGAACCGCGTACCAATCGCGGACGATAATGAACTCGTTGACCACATCATTGAGGGGATACCCGACCAAATGCTACGCAATCAAGCAAAAATGCATTGTTTCGAAACACTTGAGTCACTATTGCGAGCATTTGAGAGACTCACGTTGCCTTCGTTAAGCCGAGGAGAGGATGCACGGGGCAAGCAGCAGGTACAGCCAAGGTCAACAGCGCCAATGAATGCGGAATGGAGGCAGCGGACCGACGGGAGGACGCCCTGGAACGAATCAACGATGTGTTTCAACTGTGGCAAGACAGGCCACCTGAGCCGGAATTGTCCAACGAGGAAACGTGGCCCGAGATGTTATCAGTGCGGTGAGCATGGGCACATTTCGACGGTGTGTCCGAAGCATGATAGTAAAGAAACGGTAAAAGACGTAAATTTAATGGCGCAGTGGTCGACGAAAAAGGCGTTTAAAGCGGTAAGATTGAACAATACTGAGATAACAGCTCTTGTCGATACGGGAAGCGAATTGACGCTTATGAGAGCCGAATGTTATATTAAAATTGGCGCTCCTCATTTGGAACAAAGCGAGGTGGTGTTCCGAGGTGTCGGATCGGTTAATAATAAGACGCTAGGTAAATTTGACGCGGATGTTTTTATTGACGGAGGTAATTATTTGATCACGGTATATGTAGTTTCGGATATATTGTTAAAACACGATATGCTCATAGGGGCTGATTTTCTAACAACAGTTAACGTACTCCCAAACAAAGGTGTCGTATCTATCGAGGATAGTAGAGAAGAGATTGCTGACAATAGCGATGTACCCGCGATTTACCACATAGAGTGTAAGAAGGGACACGGTGATGTTGATCTTTCACATAATGCAATACCGTGATCAAACGAAAAGTCAATTAAATGATTGTCAACTATACCCCTAAAAAGGAGCGCGAAGTGGAAGTAAAGATGAATATTGTGCTGAAAGACGATGAACCTATTTACCAAAGAGCGAGACGTTTAGCTCCAGCCGAAAGAGATTTCATGAACGTTCAAATAAACGAATGGCTTCAAGACGGTATCGTGCAGCCGTCGCTTTCCGAATATACAAGCCCGATTGTACTAGTAAAAAAAAAGGATGGTTCTATGCGTTTGTGTGTAGATTTTAGGAAGATTAATAAAAAAATTGTGAAAGATCGACATCCTCTACCGCTAGTAGAGGATCAATTAGATGCGCTTCAGGGTGCGAAAATATTTAGCACGCTTGATTTGAAGAATGGATTCTTCCACGTTCTGTTAAGTGAGGATAGTCGTAAGTATACGTCGTTCATTGTGCCAGACGGCCAGTATGAGTTCTGGCGCGTACCATTTGGATTATGTAATTCGCCGGCAGTTTTTGCGAAATTCATTAATGCGATATTTAGAGACTTGATTCGTAGAAAATTGGTGTTAATTTATATAGATGACCTTATAATACCGTCGGACGATATTGAAACCGGAATACGAAACCTAGAAATAGTGTTGTCAGTAGCGAAGGAGTTTGGTCTGCAAATAAACTGGAAAAAATATGCATCATTACAGGCTAAAGTTGAGTTCTTGGGGCACATAGTGGAGAACGGGAGTATTCGCCCTTCTGAGAATAAGACGAACGCGGTCGCGAAATTCCCAAGGACGACGACGGTGAAGCAAGTGCAGAGCTTTTTAGGACTGACTGGATACTTTCGTAAATTTATAGGTGGCTATTCACTAATTGCGAGACCATTGACTTATTTGTTGCGGACAGACGTAAGGTTTGAATTCGGTTTCAGAGAAATAAAGGCGTTCGAAACTTTAAAAGCCAGTTTGTGCGAAAATCCGGCGCTA